CCATCTTGTTTCTAACTTGGGGTCTGCATGTATGTAATAATGGCTCTATGTGAATACTTTTTGTGTAAGTGAGTTATGAATAGACTGTTGCCATGTTATTGTTTGTCTTTAGATTACTTTCAACCTATGGCAATCTTGAGGTGAACCTATTGCAGGGTTTTCTTTGCAAAATTTAGTCAGAAGATGTTTGCATTTATCTTCCTTTGAGATTGAAAGAGTGTGACTTGCCACACAGTATTTTTCAAGGCCAAGCATTGAGTCGAACCCTGGTCTCCAGTAGCCAATGCTGTCTAGTGCAACATTACTTGTAGGTTTTCTTTTTCAAAGGTATCTCACATGAATATGGAAAAAATGGAGCTTTGCTGAATATCTAGGCTCGGTTTTTAAGAAATGCTAGGTGACTTTCATTATGCCTTGTGGCTTATATGTGTGCAGTACTGATTGGTAGCTGGGAAGTGTTTATGTAATGTTTACCTTTTGACAAAACCTTGAACTCTACTGACTAAATATAATACATGAAACATGAAAAAATATGAACATATTTGAAGCTTTGTAGCTTTCAAAAGTGAGAAAAGATCAGGATTGGTATAGATATAAAATTAGGCAGGTTGAAAAAATGGAAAAGAACTAGTTTGGGTGGTTGTTTTTTGTCATAATCCTAAAAGCAAGACCATCTCTGAATGTTGAATGGCGAGCAGTTCAGGCTAGAAAAAAGAAAGCCCTATTTTATGCAGCATATAGTTAAAGTTTAGAATTTATTTCCTTAGAGTGTCTAATGATTGCTGTTATCTTGGTAAGCCTCAAAGGGAATTAGTATAATTCATTGAGCTTCTATGCATGGTATCTATATATTACTTTCAGTAATAGGGATAACACACCTGTTCACTAGTTGTTGAGGAACAAGAGAAAGAAGATGCTGTTGGCCTTGTGTTTTGCTTGTGAGCTTCCTATAACCACATGACTGATAACTACATACCACATTTTATTTGACCAAGTATACTCTTTACAGTTCATTCTAATGCCATGTATGGCTTTCAAATACCATGATAAACAAAAGATGAAAGGTGATCAAACTAGACTTCTCTCTGTGTGTAGTATATTTCTCTTTATGTAACCTCACATTTAATTCATGAATGTCCTGCCTCTTTCCTCTGAGAGCAGATACATCACATTCTGTTCTGTCATAAATTGTGTTGTGTTTTTTTATAATCAGATATTGTTTAAGGTAGACTTTTAGAACTGTAGAATGAGGGGCTGGCCTGAGACGTTTTACTGCCTTAAGTGAAGCCATTGATTACTTGAATATTTCCTCAATACTGGTAATGCAATCTTAATTGCTTAAGATGTGAAAGCTCAGGGGAAAAAAAGAAAAAAAAGTGTTTCTTGCTCTCCCTTTATTTTTATTTTTTTTGTGGTAATGATGTACAGGTTGATTATCCTTTATACAAAATGCTCCAGAATTTCAGGATATTTTATGTCTTAATTGAGATCAATAGTTCAGCTTAAAAGGGGCAGAGAGACATAAAGCAATATCAGTGTACTCAAAATGGGAGAGCTAGGGGAATGTGTTCATGTTCTTCAGCCTCTGACACCTGAGATGCTTGCCTTACACTTGGAGAGGAGTCCTCAAACTAAGGCCCGGGGGCCGGATATGGCCCTCCAAGGCCATTTACTTGGCCCTCACTCAGGGTCAACCTAAGTCTGAAATGACTTGAAAGCACACAACAACATCAATCCTATCTCATCAGCCAAAAGCAGGTCCACTATCCCATTGAAATACTAATAAGTTTATATTTGTTAAAATCGTTCTTCATTTTAATTATACTGTTTTTAAGTGTGTTTTGCACTACAAATACACTTTCCTATATGGCCTGAATCTAGATAATAGTTCTGTATTCTTACATTGACTTTCCAGTCATTGTTGATGTATAAATGTAATAAAAGCACACATGTTTACTTTTCCAACAATTTCCTTAAGTGTGACAGTAATTCTGCTGATTAAAACCATTCTGTCAAAGGAACTAAGAGAAGTATAATTTGTCCACACCCAGAACTTCACTGCATTTCTTTAGACTGTATGCTGGTATGCTAGAAAACTCTTGAACAGATTGTAGGCAGCACGGAAGGCAACAGGTAGAAAAGAGCAGAACAGAATCCTGTTGTGCTAGTAGAAATGTGCTATTTATGCAAGTTGAAGGTTGGAAGTTGTATAAATGAAATGTATACTACTGTATATTAATGTTACTTTTGTTGACCATTCCATGAAATACCCAGCAAACACGCTTGTAAAAACTTGTTATGGCATGGATACAGTTAAGAACAGCTGTTGGGAGGAGTCTAGATGGAAGATTATACAAAGTTTACATGAAGATTACAGCAGCAGCTAGGCATAGCAAAGGTTTCTAAAGGGGCAGATTTGATCAAAGTGGCTGGAAGTGGCCAAAACGCACCATAGTATCAAGTTGCAGCAGAAATTCTTAATGGATACGTTCAAAGTGTTCTACCAGCTGAATTGTTGAGTATTAATGTGACATTTCTGTTTATAGTACTAGCAATGCAAAGAGATAAATTGGATAATCAGTGATGATAGATGTAGACGTCAAGCTTCCATTCACCTTGATGCAAAACATCTCAAAGTGCTGTAAACTGAGGAGGAAGGATTCTGCTCCCCATATTTAAATCAGACTGCTAGGATTCCCCATAAAGCCTACTATGAATCATGCCTTGGCCTTGCCTATTCCTCAAGCTTCTCGCAATCCCTTATTTCACAGAGATTCCTTTACTTGCCATCAGCTTCCCTAAACTGGGAAGATGAAAGATTTATGGAAAAAATGATTTTCTATCTGATCAAAATTGGGGGGACATTGTGACCCCTCTATTACCACTTGAAAAGGCAAGAGAAAAGTAGAAATGCTTTTTATTATTTTTTGTTTGTAATTGGCAAGAGCTTCAGGGAGCCTGATTTGTCTCCCCATATCCTCTTCGAGAGATGAGGATGTAGAACAATGAAGTGTCTATCCCAAGCATTTGCTTATGGAAGTCTCTTTGTGTCATCTGGCCAAAGAAGTAGGGGAAGTTATCTGATTTGTACCTCAAGCTTGCTCCCTAGCCTCATTCATTATCCTTCATAGAAAATGTGAAAATGTGCCAGATGCCACCTGCAAGTAATTGCTTTTCTTCATCTATCTAAGTAGCTTCTGAAAGAATACCACACCAATCAATCTGGAATAATTAGTCTTCTTGGTGTCATGGAAAAATTTGCCAATGTGCCTAGAAATAACTTCTTGTTTAAATTGGAATTACTTTGTCTCCAGAACAAAAGTGTACCCAACAGATTTTAGTATTAAACTCAATATAAGAATAAAATAAGTTATTCTTTAATAAGCCTCTCCAGAATATAGGAATATGAATTACTCTAGAACTGTTAGAGACTGGTTTTAATTCTGCGATCAGGTAGCCTCTCCATAAATGTATACATGGTGGAATTAGTTTGACATGAGGTTAGCTGCCATGGTTCAATTCTGTGAAATCATCAGAATTTTAGTCTTATAAGGCCTTTTGCCTTCTTTTCTAAAGAGTATTGTTGTGTCATCAAACTCCCATAATTCCATAGCATTGAGCTATGGCAATGAAAGTGGTGTCAAACTTCATTAATGTTACAGTGTATATGCAACCTTTGAACCTTCAAAAGTGATTTTGCATGGAGTGGAGGGTAGATCACTGGGTCCTCCAGCATGATAAGAAAGTTGACCAGGAAATTCCTAGTGAGAATGGCTTAAATCAGATCAGTGAATAATCAAATCCATAAAAGTCAAAACCACAAATGGAGGGGGATTACTGTAATTAACTCCTGTAACAGTCTAACCATATTATGCAAACTGGATAGGAAATAGTCTATACACAGAAAAGTTACACTTACACTTAGATACTGAAGATTCTAGTTTGATGCTGAAGATACTGAGGACCCTCTGAGGGTGCCAGCCACAGATGCAGGCGAAACGTCAGGAGAAGATGCAGCTAGAACATGGCAATACAGCTTGAAAACCACATAACATAGTGGAGTGCTCACATACATAAACTTTGTTGGCTTTGTTGTAAATTGCCTCTTCCATTGACATTTGAGATAATAACTCTGTTTCATATTCTATTTCAGCACTGTAGTAATTGTTTCAAAATAATCCTGACTCATTTTTTCTCCTTCTTTTTTAGTCGTTTTACCTTTATATTATTTACATGGAAGCAGTCACATGTCAATGTGTCTTATAAATATGTTTAAGCGAAAAAATGTACATGGTGTTCTCTTTGAAGTGCAACTCTTTTTTTTCAAATTGCTTTACATGTGTTTGAAAGGAAATTGGATTTTGTTAGTTCCTTAGTTAAATTGCTTTGACCTAAACTTTGTTGTATGAAGAAATTAATTCTTAAAGTCAATTGTAGCAACAGTCCTAAGAAAGGAATGTGGAATGTTAAGTTTTCACCACCATTGACTGTGATACTACACAAATGTATTTGTTTATTTATTAAGAGCAGTCATATGCAAAGTTGTATCTAATGCATCTCAACAATATATTTTACTTCATCTTGATGTACATTCAGCTAACAGGCCATTAATTATAGTATAATATATGTGGATAAAGTTACAGTAACAAAAATAATTAACTAGCCTATATATGGTATATTACTTTATATAAATTTGTGTTTCACTTTTTGTAGAAAAACCAAAGCTTTGGTGTGGCTGTATTTCCTGATGTGTTAGTTGCCTGTATAGTTTTGCACATGAGCATGTTGTATTCTTTGTCCTAAAGAGTGACTTTATCTTTAGTTGCAGTACAAAAGCATTGCATTTATAGTATCAAGTCAGTGTCTTCTTAAGATACACACACATACAGAGCCTGTTAGGAGACCTCTGCTTTCATTTCTGTAGATGGAAAGTGTTGTTAAGCTGGAGATCTCAGTGTATTATATTTCTGTACTCATTCTGTTGTTTGTTTGTTTTATAGATACAGTGCAAAATTTTACTGAAGATAATGAGAACAGTCACTTCATCTACAAGAATGCTGATGACAATAATACAATTAATGCTGGAATAGCAGAAATCTCTGGGTACAATTTTGAAGTTAAGGAATCTCATGTTTCTTGGGACTCCCATATTGGGAAGAAAGACTCACTATCAGAAGCATCACATACTAAAGAATCATTCGTAGCTGGCTTATATGGATGGGAAGATGAAAATGATGATACCCGGAGAGGAGAATATTTACTAGGTTTTGATGATGAACCACTTTCAGAAGTAAAAAACAAGGATGAAGATCTAGTCAAAGAAATTGAGACTCCAAAGGAAACCATTAGTGAAGAAGTGATGCAAACTGTTCTCAGGTCAAGTAATTGTCGGACATACTGTAGATCAAACAAAAAATCACAGGGAATGACAAATTTTGATAAGCTACTGGATGGCACTCTTCAGCCTCTAGCCAAAGCAAACAGTGATTCAAATACTGATGGCGTGAACCCAGTAAGAAAAGTTGCTTTAAGTAGCGGGACCAGTTTTAGAGGGACAGTTGGAAGGACTAGAGATTACACTGTTCTTCACCCATCATGCTTATCTGTTTGTAATGTTACAATACAAGATACAATGGATCGTATTGATGAATTTGCCACAGCTGCACCTACTGATCTGGGAGAAGCAGGACGTCTCAGAAAGAAAGCTGACATGGCAACAACCAAGACAACAACTAGATTTCGACCTAGCAATACCAAATCCAAAAAAGATGTCAAATTGGAATTCTTTGGGTTTGATGACAATGATGAAGGAGGGGGTGGTGAAGGTGGATCTAGAACCTCTGGAAGTTCAAACTATAAAATTAAGTATTTTGGTTTTGATGATTTAAGTGAAAGTGAGGATGATGATGATGAAGACCGGCAAATAGAAAGGAAAGTTAATAAGAAAAGAAGCAGAATAGCACCACCCTCATCTTCACTTCAGTCCAGTTCTGATGGAAGTGAGAACTATTCACAAGACAGCCAATCAAGCAGTAATCCAGGTAATGTTAGTTTGATATCCTTGTTTCATAACTTACTAGAGTTGCATTGATAGTTGATAGAATATGTAGTCCCATCATTGGGAAATATAGCTTAAGAAACTCGCATTTATTAAGTAGACAGTGTCATGTTTTTCTTATCCGCACTCCTCTGTATGTCAACTGCAGTTTTTCTTTTCAGATTTCTTTAACTATAAAACATGGTTGTTTTAAAAGCCCTAGTCAGGCAGAAACTGGTTTGATTTCAGAATTATTCTCACATTACAAATAGCAAAACAGATTTTATTGATGCTGCATTCCAAGAACATATTTTGTCCACATTGGACAGCAAAATATTAACTTAATTTGTTTAACAGCCAGGCAGTTCGGCAGTTAGTCCTGTTTCAGTTTCCATAAAGCCCTAGAAAAGAAAACAGAAGATAGCAAAAAAATAAATAAATGCCTAGGTTAATAGTAAATGAGATCCACTCGAAGGGGGCCTGTATATCACAGTAGCCTAATGGGATTTCTATCCGCCCTCCCCCGAGATATTAAAAGTAAGAAGTGATACAAGTTCTTTTAATCCCATATTGCACCACGTAACAAAATTTTAAAAAATTCTGTTCCTGGTTAGAAAGAGTTATTTCCTGTTTAATTTTGCGTTACTTACTTAAAATTAGTTGTTATACTCCAGAATTTTAGTTTTTGTGGCTTCCACGAACTATGTTGAAGTGGTTGAAACTCTATAAGATATTCATTGAAAGACTAGCAAAATGTTCTGCAGGATGTCCTATAAGAACAGTTGAAATATATCAGGAAAAAGTGCCTAGTTAGTTAAAAGTTAAACCTAACTCTTAGAAAAAGGCCAGAGAAGATGGAACATCACTGACCTAATAACAGCTGCAGAGTGCATGGAATATGAAGTGTTTCAAGTTCTTAACATGTTAAAATACTTTAAAAGGTGACTTAATTCCATAGCAGCCTTGTGTAATTTCTGTTAAATTCAAATGAGGAAATTGGGTAAGTCAGAGAACTCCTTACTGACCAGAAGCCGATCCAAGTTTAGGATATACAGCAGGAATGGGCAAACTAAGGCTCGGGGGGGCTGGATTCGGCCCCGGGGTGCTTACTTCAGACCTTCCTCATTTTCTCTGTCCTCTCAGCATAAGGACACGATGGCCTGCTACATCCTTATGCAGGAAGGGGAAGGCACACAGCAGCTAGAGTCTTCTAGAGCATGTTAAGTAGGCCTGGGTAACAACGGAAAATTTTGTTTCTAAAATCGATTCTTTTTTGGGTTTTTTTGCGTTTCGTTATTTAAAAAAGTTTGATATTTACGAAATTTCGTTAATATTAACGAATCAATTCGTTAAAATGGCGGACGCGGTTGCGCAAAGTGAAAATAATAGTTTTAAATAATAGTTTTAACCTCGGAGAAGGAAAGGGGGGAAAGAGAGAGAGAGAGGAGGGGTGAGATCTCTATTCTGGTTTGACAATGCTTCTCAATAATAATAATAATAATAATAATAATAATAATAATAATAACAACCCACTTTCTGCCTTCGTGCATGTAAGGCACAGTGAAAGCACTACTGAAAGATGGCCATCCATTCTTAATAATAATAATAATAATAATAATAATAATAATAATAATAGTTTTAACCTCAGAGAAGGAGATGGGGAGAGAGAGAGAGGAGGGGGGGGGGAATTCTCTATTCTGGTTTGACGATGCTTCTCAATAATAATAATAATAATCACATAATAATAAACCACTTTCTGCCTTCGTGCATGTAAGGCACAGTGAAAGCACTACTGAAAGATGGCCATCCATTCTTAATAATAATAATAATAATAATAAATAATAAATAAATATAATAAATATAATAGTTTTAACCTGGAGAAGGAAAGAGGTTAGGCAGGCAACAGGCAGGTCTCTGAGTGCTGCACTGCTGTGTCTCTTTGCCCAATGCACGCAGGCCAGAGTGAGGAACGAGGTGAGGTGACGACAGGAGGAGAGGAGAATTTGATCCACTTAAGCAGAGGCCAGGGACCCGGAAGTGGGGTAAATGCCGACCGCTTGCAACCAGGGAGAGGGGAGGGAAACAACTATAAAACTTGCACCAGACATACGGAAATAATAACGAAACAATTACAAAACAATTACGAAATAGCTTTAAAAATTCGTTTCGTTTTTTAGTTGCTCCTGAATGGTTTGTTATCACTTCGTTATCAAGAAAAATAACGAATTATTAACGAATTACGAAATTAACAAACGAAACCGCCCAGCCCTAATGTTAAGCCACCAGATGTCTTGTTCTTCTCCCAGCATAAGAATAGTGCAAGAGGCCCTGTCCTTTTGCTGAGAGGACGGCCCGAGGAAGGCACATAGCTGCTTAGAGCCCTCCGGAGTGTTCTTGAATGTCGCCTTTCTTGCCTTCCTCCTGGCATAATGCTGAGAGGACAGCTCGAAGATCAGGGGAGGAGGATTGGGGCAGTCGCCGCATGTCTCATTTTCCTCCCAACATAAAGATGGAGCGAGCAGTCTTATCTTTATGGCAGTAGGACAACCTGAGGATGACCCGCCCACTACCCCACCCCCTCCCGCCATACCCTCTCACAGGCCCTCTCCCTCCTGGCCTGGCCCTCTCGGTCAGGCTTACAAGGCAAAAAGTTTTGCCCACGCCTGTTATGCAGTGTTATTATAATAGTACAACAATGTAATTGCATTGTACTGTGTCTCAGGCTATCTTGGAAATCTAAAGAAAAAATCTTCTGTCTTAGTAACTGCCTCTGCATTTCTGGAAAAACACCAAGGTACTGAGGGGTTTTAAAAGTTTCTAGTGGTAAATATGAAGAAATGAATAATTGAATGATAGGAAAATGATGGGGAACATCCTGTCCAGTTTCCATCTCACCCTCCTCAATTTTCTTGCTAAGTGCTAGAGAAATGGCCTCTATTGCTGAGCAGATAAAATACTCCTATCCTAAGCTGATCTATGTGTATTTGCTGAAGATGGTATTTGAAGGGTTTGCTTGTGTTTGCATATATATGTATGCTGTTGATCGATGTCTATATTAGTAGCAAGTAGTGTACAAAATGGAGTGTTAAAAGTGGGTTAGCAGCATCTACTTTAGTCTCCCTACTATACTTGTTAATATGCAGTTTTCTGGTTAACAGTGTTAATTTTGAGTGGACACAGTTTTGAGTACTGTATACAGGACTGTAATGGCGCTCCATGCAGTCATGCCGGCCACATGACATTGGAGGCATCTATGGACAACTCTGGCTCTTTGGCTTAGAAAGGGAGATGAGCATAACTCCCCAGAGTCGGACACGACTAGACTTAATGTTATGGGGAAACCTTTACCTTTTTATAGTATACAGGTAGCCCCCAACTTACAAACAAAATAGGTTCTGCAGGTTTCTTCTTAAGTTCAATTTGTATGTGAGTCAGATCATGTACATTTATGAAGTGTAACTCCAAATATATATGCGTGTGTGTACATGTGTGCACACACATACGCACAAAAGCTTTGGATAGCATAGGTCTTAACACCCCTGTAGTGTTTGTTTTGCTGTCTGTGACTCTGTTCAGAATATCTCACCTTACTTTCTGTCCCTGTAATAATTTGATTTTTGAAAATTTTGGCTTGTTGTGGGTGGAATTAAGAATTAGAGATAAAGCTTCGGTGGAGACACCTTTCCCCCATGATAACTTCCAGAAGTGAATTCCCCTTCCTAGGAGGAGATTGCAAAATGGAATGTCTGTTCTTTTAGTTACATATTCTGTGTAGCAAGAGGTGGGTGTATTGCCTTGCAAATGAAGTTGGACCACAGCATAGGCAGTGGTGAATTACTGTGATAATTTGACAATTCAATTGTGTTGTTGGAAGCAGTTGCCATAATCTTAGGGTTTAAAAGTTTCAGTACCTATAACAGGTACCGATAACTTGAACCTCTTTCAGTAATACAAGGGAATCTAGATTATGCAATGTAATGAATCAAATACTTGAAAAGCAAGGCAGACAGGATATACTGATTAATCATTGTAGGGTGATTTAGTCAAAATATACATGAATTAATCATAGAGGGGGAGTGCATTATAGAGACTAGATAGCAAAAGCCAGGTACTACAAAGGTGATTTTCAATTCTGTGTAGACATTTGAGAATGAAGTTTTCTGTATTTTCATTAGTTCTCCAAAATATCCTGAAAATAAGAACCTAACATTCCTCAGACAGTTTGTATTTTTGTTAGTGTTAAAATTGCACCAACCTGTTGCATTAAAGGCAGAGTTTTCATGTGGTCTCTTGCTATATACAATGAATTTGATTCCTCTAGTGAAAATTGAACTTGCATGCATTTTCTCTCTCTCTCTCTCTCTCTCTCTCTCCCTATTATCTGTGTATGAGACTTAGATTAAACATTTGAAGAAAGTGCATGTTAGTTAAATTTCTTTTCAAAGAACTACACTTTTAATAGTTATAAAACACACACCACAGAGGGCCAAAGTATTGTGATAGTAATAATAATAATAATAATAATAATAATAATAATAATAATATTTTTTAAAAATATTTATACCCTGCTTCATCTCCCCCAAGGGCTTACATGAGGCCACGCCAAGGTATCACAAGCGCCTTTACAAAGCATATGGAATGATTTATAGAATTAGCTGAAAAAGCTGTGAGGCTCTTCTTTATGCTTGGGAAGGACCTTTGATTTTCCAAGCAGTGGAAGGCAAAGATTCTTCAAAGTACCTTAAAATAATAAATCTTTGAACAAACTTGGAAATCAGAAATTGATGCCCAATGCGGGTCAGCTGCGTAGGTGATCCAGTTGATTCGTCATATTAGGTGGCCAGGCATTCTCTTACTTTGTGTAAGAGACAACCTCTCCAATTGTGTCAGCTAGCTTCCCGATGGCAGGAGTTGGAGTCAGGGAAGCACATTCCTCTAACCTTTTGGCAGGGTAAACATTCCCTGCTTTAATAACTTTTTCCAGAGGGCTGCTCTCCCACTTTCAAGTGGCTTACTCTTTTGTTGCTGCTTTTGCTCAGTACTTACAGGCATCTTTTAATAAAAAGATAGTGTTTAGAAGGAAACTTACAAATGATTATCACAGCATCTATCGTATTTGGAGTGGCGAGGAGTGTCCATGTGACATGGTGTGCTGATCAGGTTTCTGTAAGAGAGATTTCCACAAGGCCAATGTTTTTTCATCACTAGCATACCATGCACTCTTTATTGTTCGCACTAATGTGGGCTTTTTTAAAACCAATATATTATGAATTATTTACAGAAGACGACAATCCATTTTGGCTACAGTTGCTTCTATTGTAATATGTGTACTTTTAAACTTCTGATCTTAAAAGAGCAGTACTGGGAAAGTTTTCCTACCAAAATGGGAGTTTTCTGTAGAATCACTAATAAGCATGGTAGGCTGACTTCTGAAGGGCTATTGCCTCTCACCCTATGCAGTAGCTTGCCAAGTGCATTATTACTGTATATACTCGAGTATAAGCCGACCCGAATATAAGCCGAGGTACCTAATTTTACCACAAAAAAACTGAGAAAACAGACTGACTCGAGTATAAGCCGAGGGTGGGAAATGCAGCAGCCACTGGTAAATTGCAAAATAAAAATAGATACCAATTAAATTACATTAATTGAGAAATCAGTAGGTTATATATTTCTGAATATTTACAAAAATGGTAATTTAAGATAAGACTGTCCGACTCTGATTAATTGATTATTTATCTTCTTCAATGTAAATGTGCTTAAATATCCTTCCAATAATAATAAAGAGAGTAACATTATAAATGTAATAACAACAATAATAATAAAAAGAGTAAAATAATAATGTAGCAATAACAACAATTATACAGTAAAATAATAAATGTGTAATAATAGAGTAAAATGATAAATGTAATAATAATAATAATAAATAGAATAAAATAATAAATGAAATGAAAATAATAATAATAACAATAATAATAATAACACAGTAAAATAATAAATAACCTTTACTCAAGTATAAGCCGAGAGGGACTTTTTCAGTGTAAAAAAAGGGCTGAAAAACTAGGCTTGTACTCGAGTATATACAGTAATTCTTTCTACAGGCTTATGGGAGCAAGTCATATATAATGTCTATACAAGTATGGATCTCACACTGATGTCTTTCAGTTAAATCTTTAAGCAGGCCTAATTCCTCCCATCTAATATGAGAAGGTTTGTGTTATTAAAAGGAAATATAGATGAAAATCACTTTGTGTACACAGTGAGCAAGGTATTGGTTTGTAGGGATTGGGTTTTGGATGTGAAAGTTTTGCTGTAAAACTGTATAACCAAAACCTATGGTGTATGAGAGATATAAGACCAAGGGAGTTAGGTTGGTTTTTTAGCAAGCACATGACATTAGTTTTGAAAACTAAGAACCTGGCTTGTATATGTTTTTTGTGTCTGATATGTTGAATAATGGGAAGTTGTTTTTATGGGCCATAACTGATCAAATCCACTGAGCACTTCCATATTGCTATAATTGTAATTATTTAGATTTACCCAATTTAATGACTGAAATGAGAGTGCTTAATTACAGTACGTCAGACATTTTTCATTAGGGCATGAGTTGATTTTCTTGTTGTTGTAGTTTTAATTACAGCTTTTACCAGCTGAGCTTACTGTTTTTTCCTGTCTGATTATTTTATGTAGTAGGTTGTTATAGGGCCATGTACATTTTGTAAAATGCAACTCAAACTGCTTACTTGCATTTTTGTACAACTTTATACAAATCCACTTGCCAGAGGCAAGGGTTCTTTCTTAGTTCCAATGAGACTACTCACTTTCATCAACTGAGGAAAGGAAAGTGGAGTTTCTCAAAAAGTGCTGACTTCTAGATTAGGCAGTCCTTATCTCTGCAGAGGCAGAGTAGATAATTTTAATTTAGTTAAAATTTGTAAAGACACATCAATAAAAGTTCAGTTTAATCTCATTGTAGGTATTCTAAACTTGGGTTTTGTTACATTTACACGTTACTGAAAAACATGGGCATTTATTTTATGGTTTCATGTGATGAACCTGGCTTTTCCAGTTATAATGTCAGTTCTTGATTCTTGAATAAAATTGCTTCTTGAAATTTAGGGTTTTTTTTCTTCCCCTCACTGTAATTAGATATGTAAAAAGGATAGGTTTTTTTTTTAGGCGGAACTGGGCCAAGAAAGGCAGAAGGGTCAGTTAATTTTCATCAGCAAAGATTTTTTAAAATAAAAAAATGCAATTGACTCTCCATATTTACATGTTGAACTTTTGCAAATCTGATTGTTGACCGATATGATTAATATATTCTATTGAAGAATCTATATCCTTTAGTGTTTTTTTTGTGATAAAATTTAATCATAGAGTCTCTCTGAAGGACTTAGAGATTCCTAGAAAGGTTCTGTCAAGTAAAAACAAAAAGAGTATTATTGTTAACCATGATTTATACTTCAGGGGCAGGGATAGTAGCTGCACCCCTTCCTCCCGTGAAATTGGGGAGCCTACTGCATTGTATGAACTCTTTGAATTTAAATTAGTACAAGATTCTGCTATAAACTTCAGCCTATTATGGGTGCTGATAATAAGAAAAATGTCTCATGCTAATTTGTTTAAGACAGTCTGTATGTTGATGAGGGAAAAGCATGCAAAATACATACAGTGATGCAAAGAGATGCAAGACCGGGTTGTAAGAGGGAAACTGTGCAATGGCAGTTTAGTTGTTAATTAACTTAGTTTAATTATGAGATTTGCACAGTTGTTTAGGAAATGAACGCATCTTACTATGAAGTTAATTTAAATTGACATTTTCCTGCTAATTTAAACTAGTTATTTGAATCATGTCGGTTTAGTTTAGTGCATCTTATGCATGTCTGTTTAGTTTAGTGCATCTTATGCAGAGGATTTGGAAGAGTGAGTGGTAATGACAAATCCCTATCTGACTAGAAAGCCCAGAGAAGACGTGTGGGAATCCCTTTCTATATGATGTAACAATGTCGTTGAATTCTGTAATGTATCATCTGTTCATGAGTCCCAACTGACCTCAACTTTTTATGGTCTGTGGCCATGCTGAAACCTACAGGAAGACCCACTTAATCTTTTGCTGCAGTCATCTTAAGGCTTTGCTACAGCTCCAAGCACTTGTGATCATTAATTCTGCCAGTTGGGTTGATTAATATTGAAAACATTTTGAGATTGCCAAGTTGAATAAGGCAGGTTTAACAGTATGTTAAACCATTGGAAAGAGACCTACAAATTAGTGATGTCCACCTCAATGAAATATCTCATTGGTTCCATCAACCTTCACTATCAGAAACTCAGTTTTAGAATTTATTTAATTAACTTAAAATCATGTCTTCTTTCTTCCATGTTGTAGTGTTTAACATAGTATTCACATGTGTAACTGTTCCTTCCATATTGTTTGTAATAAGCAAGGAAATAATTATTTTTCCATCTAGGTAGTAACTAGTTTTTAGTGTATGTTTACTCTTTTTACCACTACACTGTTTCTCTTGAAGTAGACATGGAAAGTACATTTTCATTTCTTATGCTTGTAGAGCTACTGGACTTCCCAGAAGATCCATCTAGTGTTCCTGAAAGCAATAAGAAATCCACAAATTCTCAAGGTGATAAATCTAAGGAAAACACACGAAAAATATTTAGTGGACCAAAGAGGGTAAGTAATCATGCTTAAATTACCTTGCCTGAAATAATTAATGCTTAAATAAGAATAACATGTAAAACCTTGTAATGTTGTTCTTTGAGACCTTCTACTGGAGCACTGGTTCTCAAGCTTCATAATGCTGCCACCCCTTAATACAGTTCCTCATGTTGTGGTGACTCTCGACCATAAAATTATTTTCATTGCTGCTTCATAACTGTAATTTTGCTACTGTTATAAATCATAATGTAAATATCTAATATGCAGGAAGTATTTTCATTCACTGCACCAAATTTGGCACAAATACCTGATACCCCCAAATTTGAATACTGGTGGGGTTTTTTGGGAGGTGTGATTTTGTTATTTGGGAGTTGTAGTTTCTGTCATTTATAGTTAACCAACAATCAAAGAGCATTTCGAACTCCACCAATGATGGAATTGAACCAAACTTGGCACACAGAACTCCCATGACCAACAGAAAATACTGGGAGAGTTTAGTGGGCATTGACCTTAAGTTTTGGAGTTGTAGTTCACCTACATCCAGAGAGCACTGTGGACTTAAACAGTGATGGATCTGGATGAAACTTGGCACGAATACTCAATATGCCCAAATGTGAACACTGGTAAAGTTTGGAGAAAATAGAATTGATATTTAGGAGTTGTAGTTGCTGGGATTTACAGTTCACTTACAATCAAAGAGCATTCTGAACCCCATTAATGATAGAATTGGGCCAAACTTCCCACACAGAACCCCCATGACCAACGGTAAATACTGTGTTTTCTGATGGTCTTGGGCAACCCCTCCTCTTGGAGTTCTGACCCCCAGGTTGAGTAAGAGAAAAATGGTGCTTCTAGAGACATGAGAGATTACAAAGGAGAGAACAAGAAAAGTTACATTTCATGAATGGAAGTCTACTAATGCAATGTTTGATGTTCTTGTAAGAAATTTCTCCTGCTTTATTTGGCCTTTGGAGGTAGTTCCTTAAGAATTTAAAGTTGTTCCATGCTCTTCAAGGTAGATCACTTCTGTCATACTTATCATCTTGTATTTGTTCATAAGAAGAAATGACTTCACTGTTCTTCAAATGGTATCCAATATATTCACAGTCAGGCCCGTAGCCAGGATTTCATTTGGGGGGGGGGGGGGACCGTGTACCCCAGTCTGAGTTGAAAGAGGGTCTTAGCACTAGCAAACCTTTGTACTGTGAAATAACCAGATTTCAGATGAAGTCGATGACATAAGAAACAATCAAACAGTTAAATTAATGCAACCAGTAAGGCCGTATTCACAGCGAACCCCACTCCTATTTGGGAATGTGGCGGGGGGATTGTGGCGACCCGAGCACGCATGAAGCCATCAACCCCCCCCCCCCCCCCCCGGCTACATGCCTGTTCACAGTGTTGCAAGTTGCAGTGTAGCAACAAACCTGAAAATGCATGTAAAACATTTTTATGAACAGAAAAAATTATGTAATTAATAGTAAGGAATTGAAAACAGTTTATTTACAAATAATGAACTGCTTATTTTCCTGATAATAATATTAAATTGTTTCTTTTTGTTTCTAATTATTTATTGCAGTCGCCAACAAAGGCTGTGTACAATGCTAGACATTGGAATCAGCCAGAATCCGAAACTCTTCCAGCAGCACAAGTGTTGAAAACTCCAGCTGTCCCAGTGAGTACAGTATCTTCTCACCCCAAAACTTAAAATGAATAGCTTAAGTTCACTCTTCAGTTAGAGAAGATATCTGGGAAATTTTAAATTTCAGGAATAGTATATTTAGATAGTTAAAATTACCAAGAGAAAACTAATGAAGAAAGACCATGATTATGAGTCCTGAAGTTGGCCAGGAACAAGATTTGAAGTTTCTCCCGATTGCAAAGGGAATGTTGTTGTTTCTTTGTGTATGTGGATTGTTTGCTACTGTTCTGTATTTATATAGCTGCTGTCAGATATACGTGATGGTGTTTTTGTATAAAACATAGCCTACAGGATGGTTCTTTGTCTTAATCTTAAGGCTCATGGAAGAATTTTGGATTGTTTAAGTGTTTTTCTTCTGTGGCAGCTATTTTTGTAATTCAGTCAAGCAGCATTCTTGGCCCGGGCGCAGTGAACATTATAAGCCTTATACATTATGCCCATCAAGGCTTTCCTCTCAGTCCATAGTACTGCTATGAAATTGTTCACATGAAGTAAATTATTCTGGAGTGAAAGCTGTTATGGAACAGATAGCCCTCACATACCTTTACTGATCTATTTCATCACAGTTATGACAGAAGAGCTTTTAAAGGGACTCTTTGGTCTGAATCCTATTATATAAAGTTTGCTGAAAAGTTCAAGGTCAAAGATTAATGTCAACATGCTGACTGTAGCATCCTAGAACAAGTGCTTGTAACACAACTGGTGTGTGTGTGTTAGTCATTCAACCTTTACAAAAGAATTGCAGTAAAAGAAATAATAGTATAATCCCAAAGATGTCTATTATTGTTTATGTCTACATGCTTAAAGCCTTAATTACAGCAGATGTTTGAACATATCTTCAGAATTATTATCCTGATTTGTAATTTCAAAAATTACTTTAAAATGTTTCTTCAGGGCTCTTTCCCAAAAAGTTTTTTGTCCGGCTTACATTTTGAATCTGAGATCAGCAAATCAGTAGGTCTTTACACACTTGCCTGTGGTTTCTTCAGGAATCAGTACGCTGTTTAGCAGACTCCAGAAGTTTTACAGGCGATTCTCCTTAAACTGGAGAGCTGTGCAAATTTTTCAAAACAGGACATGCCATAGACTTACATTAATGGTCATATGGCATGTTAATAATTTAAGGGAAGTCTGTTGTGTATAAATATGTGTAGCAAGTTAAAGGGAAGTGAAAAATATTAGCTCATAGAGAGTTTAATACAGCCGCTAAAGATACTAAATGTAATGAAAATTATTAAGTTGTACAGTGTATTACATCAAAACTTTGGATGATCACATATCCTCTGAAAAACATCTCCTAAAATCTGCATCTGTTGGTATAATGGCCTGATAGAGGTGAGAAGTGTACGTGAAAAATGTTTCCATCCCACAGCCAAGATAGAAAATACAAGAAAACTCTGTTAGAGGAAGAATGTTTTGAATGGCTTGATTCTTTGACGATCTTGGCATGAATGTGAATATTGGGGAAATAAAAGGGGACAGTAGCTAACAGCTGCAGATGTTTAAAAATGTAGTCTATCAGCCTGATTCTTAAGCAAAGATGAGAGAACGTTACTGTACTTTCATTTAATCTTTGTGTTAAAGTGCAATGTTTTAAAACTGACATTTAATTATTTTGCCTGAAAACCATTCATTTGTGCTTTTTACTGTTTGAAACAATGCTTTTGTGAATCCCAGTTGTCTTCCATGTACATAGGTGCCTGTTTTCTGCTTCAAAACAGCTACTCATTGTTATACTTTCTGTTAATAGGTAAGGTTGTCTTCTAAAGAGGCAATTCACAAAGATGATGGAGTGTTTAAAGCTCCAGCACCACCTCCCAAAGTGATAAAAACTGTGACTTTACCCACTCAACCCTATCAAGAGATAGTAACTGCCTTGAAATGCAGGAAAGAAGACAAAGAAGTAAGTGAGATGCCTGAAACTTTTCCAAAAATACATTTCATGATAGATAAATTAAATTACAAAGTTAAGAGCTAGAGTCAAAGTTGAGTAAGTTCTCTGTTTGTAATGGCTAACTTGAAAATCTGAGCTGGCCAGTAAATGTTTCATGCTTCCAGAAAAAGTATTGTCCATTAATTTTCAGGTATAAAAGAATACTGTTGTAGCTACGTGGCCTAATTTTCAGGTATAAAAGAATACTGTTGTAGCTACGTGGCTTCGCCCAGGTATCGGAGGAGCCCCTGCCCCTCTGCTTCATCCCTTCTTTTACTTTCCCTGTCCTTATACATTTCCCCTTTTCCTCCCTCCCTCGTTTTCCTTCTCCCCCTCCTTTCTCTGGCTCCAAAAAGGCCTATCTTAAAATGTCTCTGCAACCATGGGTCCCCAGATGTTTTGGCTTTCAACTCCCAGAAATCGTAACAGCTGGTAAACTGTGATTTCTGGGAGTTGTAGACCAAAACACATGAGGACCCACAGGGTGAGAACCACTGCTCCGAGGAAATATGGTTCTCTTTGTGGCTCTCTTCCTCTTTCCTCGCCTCCCCTCATGCACATGTCACCTTTTTTCCCTAGTGACATTATCTCACCACAGCCAATCCTTAATCTAGCCACAGACAATCTAGTGACATCACAAAGGGCCACTGAATGGTCACCTAGTTACGGTCTAGTAACGGTCTTTGTGGTACAGACTAACATACTTTGACTTTTATATATAAAGATGTTTTTGTATGCTTGCCTTTCAGTTATACACTGTTGTTCAACATGTGAAGCACTTCAATGACGTAGTAGAATTTGGAGAGAACCAAGAATTCACAGATGATATTGAATACTTGTTAAGTGGACTGAAGAGCAATCAGCCCCTAAACACCCGTTGCCTTAGGTAAACTATTTCTATTATGGCATAATAATCCCCTTGACCATATTGCATACTTACCCATTCTGCATACTTGCCTACCTAGGTATGTTCTGTACATACACACTGGTAAGACATGGGACCATGTGGAAGTGAAACAAAAAAAATACATCTATGCAGCATGTTCGAAGTGGGGATAGCGTGCTTACTAATTAACATCTAGTAATTTATTTTCTTCTGTGACTGTACTTGTATAAAACTATTTTTGTATGTACTTATAAAGACATTTTCAGTCTGGGCCCTAAAATTATTCTTTTATCTTGATACATTCTTTATAATAAACAAAGCTGTTCATTCACCCTGAAGTTGGGGATTTTCAAGAAACCATACGAACTTGTACTCGATGGTACCAAAACAATTAAATAGTGAAAGATCAATGAAGTAATTTCTATTGTTCAAAAGTACATGGTCTTCTTGGGGTATATTTATGCAAGAGGCTATCCCATAGTTTACTTCTACTTGATTTGTGGCATGGGCTGGATTGTTCATATATTGTTGGGAAAATGGCATTATTGGTTTTGTTACCTCTCTTCACATAGTTTTGAAAGAGGTATCTTGTTTATTGAATTTTACCGCAGCTTGTTCTGCAGGGATTGCTCAACGTGGCCTAGCTGTATTTTTGGGCAAAACTCTCAAAACATTACAATTATTCAAATCAAAGAGCAATAATGGCCTCACAACTGCTGACCAATATTGATATATAATTTTTGAAGTAGATGAAAATTTCCAGACATTGCATAGACCGCCTTCAAGAATTAATATTTCATCATCTTAGTAATTACATTTGCAGCAAATCTGCTCAGTCACAAGAAGCAGCATAATTTCTGATGGGTAGTGTGTACTGGATGGAGAAATTGCTGCCTGTGATCTAGGACTTGAAAGAACATTCTATATTTTTATTTTCATAAGTGGATCACTACTAACTGTTGTTGAACTTACTTAGAATATTTGCTAGCTGTTCCCTGCCACGCGTTGCTGTGGCCCAGTCTGGTGATCTGGAAAATAAAGTAATGAGAAAGTACTGGTTTCTAATATATGTTATATCTTTATGCTGGGTAAACAGTATAGTTTCTTTGTTAGTGCTGATGTGGAGATTGTCTGGTTTGGCTACTCAAACATACAATTGTCCTTCTTTAGGGGTCCCTTTCAAATCTGTGATACTATATCTGTTCGTGTGTGTGAATCATATATATCTATTTATATTGCTGGATGACTCTTTGTCAGGAGGGCTTTGATTACATTTTCTTGCCTTGGTGAAGAGAGTTGGACTGGATGGCCTTAAGTATTTTCTGTTGGTCGTGGGGCTTCTGTGTGGGAAATTTGCCCCAATTCTGTCGTTTGTGGGGTTCAGAATGCTCTGATTGTAGGTGAATTATAAATCCCAGTAACTACAAATCTCAAATGTCAAGGTCTATTTCCCCCAAACTCGATCTGTGTTCATATTTGGGCATATGGAATATTTGTGCCCAGTTTGGTCCAGATCCATCATTGTTTGAGTTCACAGTGCTCTCTGGATGAAGGTGAACTACAACTCCCACACTCAGAGTCAATGCCCACCAAATCCTTATAGTGTTTTCTGTTGGTCATGGGAGTCCTATGTGCTATGTTTGGTTCAATTCCATAATTGGTGTTCAGAATGCTCTTTGATTGTAGGTGAACTATACATCCCAGTAACTACAACTCCCAAATAACAAAATCATTTTTTTTAGTGAAGGACATACATTGGGTTGTTAGGTATATGCCGTCCAAATTTGGTGTTATGTCGCCCACTGGTTTTTGAGTTCTGTTAATCCCACAAACGAACATTACATTTTTATTTATATAGATGTGGTTGATTGATTAAGTCTGTTAATTCAAATATGTTTCTGATGGTTCTTGGGGAGTTTCATGTTGCCTCATCAGGTGATACTGTCAATTTTCTAGTTGATCTCATGTAGAGAAATTGTTTGAGAATTTACATGGTTGCTCCTGAGCATCCTTTTTTACACAGTACATCGAAACCAGCTCCCTTGATGGTTGAGCAGTGGCTAGAATTTTTAAACCCCTTTGGGTTAATTTGTTTACTCTTTTGGGCCACAAAAATGGCCTTGCTACACTAGATACAGAACCACCCCCACAAAAAAAGGGTGCCTGGCTCCACAAACAAAGGGTGTCTGGCCAGAACGGCTAGTAATCATCCCTTGAATAGAATCAGCAGCCACTTGGATAAAGTGTGTTGGCCATCCCTGGAGGAGGAGGTGGTAGTGGGAGCAAGCCATGCATCTCCTCCTTGTCATCCTTAGCTGATCTCTGGCCGCCCCCTCCTGGCACCCAAATAATGGACGCACCCAAACAGCGGTTTCAGACATAACAGGGAAGGAGGAAAGTGAGGATGAGTCCAAAGAGACTTCAAAGGGCATCTAGTCCAACCCCCTTCATCCAGCCTGGAAGATCACCAGTTGGCAGTGACTATAGCAATGCTTTAGTGATCTCTTGACCTGTTCCAACACAGATACACTCTTATATAAGCAAGGCACAAGCATTCTGCCAGAGTTCACAGTATTTCCAGAATTACATCAAATAATAAATATCTCCGGGTTGTTTCTACCAGGATTTAGTGAAATCACTTTCCAAGCAAAAGAGCAGCATACCTTTTATGAAAGAAAGTGCAGATTCTACACAGATGAAATGGATGTCATTCCAGTCACAGTTGTTACTTAGAAACCATGCAAAGATAATCTCTAGGCCTGTTTGCTTCTATTTATTTAATTTTGCACAATTTTATTTATCACTTCTTGATCTGTCAGGATGCTTGAGGCAATCTACAGTGGGTAAAACCCTTTAAAGATAAATTGGAGACACATCACAGTGTACAATTGAAGTGAGAGAGGAGGGAGGGGAAAGGATGCCACTGAAGTAGCTAGTTGTCTTGATTTAGAACATGTTTATTTTGACAGATTCTTTTATGCAATCATACCACCCTCCACTTGGTTGATTACTCTTACTTGTTGCTTCTTGAACCTGCAAAACTTGTTAAGCTTCTTCTTACTTCCACCCAATGTGCCCTATAGCCCAGATGTGTTGATCATACCTGTGGCAACTGAAAAGATTGAGAATGAGATGAGAATGTAGGTTATTCTTATTGAAACTCAAGGTATAGAAGACGTAGATCTAGAACTTTTAGGGTGATGGGGCCCTTGTTAAGAGTCTAACTCCAAAAGTACTGAAGATAAGTTATAAACAACCATGTAAAGCAAAACCTTAAATTGTTTGTGACACAAACAAATGTATTATATTTATTTCCTATGTTTATATTCTGCATTTCCTCCAATGAGCTCAGGGTAGTAGCTCATTGACTGCTGTTCTACTTTTTTCTCAGAGCGATCTTTTGAGGTTGGTCAGGATTAGAGTGTGCTCTACAGTATAATTGCCTAGTATATTTGATGACTCTGAATCTTCAACAGAGCATCAGTGATCTAGTTTGAGCAGCCCCATTACCACTCCTACTTGCTTAGGTGGCACTTCCATTGTTCCATCAGTTGTGCCTTAGAAACTCCATGATGTCAAGAGTACAGGGCCACCATTCACCAATAACATCTTATTTTTACATAGACACAGTATGAATGAGATGTGTATGTTGAGGAATGGATTGTGTCAGCATGGCTTTTTGATATGTTATAAGGCTCTAGCTTTCTGCATTCTACTGTTAACAGGGAATATCTTTGCCAGTCTAGTTCCACACCATTTTTTCCCTTTTTTCCTACCAAATTTTGTCATATATTATTAGATTTCTCTTGAGGTAAAGATAAATCCTCTCATATGAGTTTACCTGGCTGACATTTTTATACACTTGCAATGAATAGTCTTTATCAAAGACACTTTTGATTGATGGTCCTTTGCTCCATTCTGGTTGTGCGGGTGGGAGACATCTAGCTTAGTCTTTCTTTCCACTGAGGTTTGCGTGTTTCTGTTTGTGATTTATCAGACTTTCGTGTTTGTTTGCTTGTTTTAGTGTTATCAGCCTGGCGACAAAGTGCGCCATGCCCAGCTTCCGGATGCATTTGAGAGCACATGGAATGGTAGCTATGGTTTTCAAAACTCTGGATGACTCACAGCATCATCAGGTTTGTACCACTTACGTTTTGGATTATATTTTAAAATTGTATCATCTCAGTTGTTCTTGGAGCAATGTGTTTTTTTGCAAATATTTCTGAGATTATAATTGGTGTAATGGAAATTGTTATCAATATTTTTCTTGATGTTTCCTTTTGTTGTGTTTTGTTTTTTTGATATCACATACTTAGAACATTTTGGAAGTAAAATAAAATAATAGTTCTGATAGAAATAAAACTGTTCTTTGTATTTGCATTTTCGTCCAGAAAAATATGATTTCTGCAATAATTGGGATACTTTTTGTACATTGTTGCCTATTTTTCTATCTCCTGTCATAATAGAATTTGCTAGATAACAAGACTGCCCACATATTTATATATATATATATATATATATATATATACACACACACACACACACACACACACACACACACACACACACTGTATATATTCAGAATTGGTAGAAGGGAAATGTAAATGCCACCTTATTCTGATATTATCTTAATGTGTGTTCCACACTTCTAATACTAGTACTAGCTTGAGAATTCAAAAAACTATAGATTTTATATGCCCTTGGTTTAGAATTGTACAACATTTTGCTTGTTGATTCTAGCCTCTTGGCAATTTAATAATACTAATTTTGTTCAGTGCTGTCTCATATTTTATATTAACATACTGACTGCTCCAGAAGCTTTCATAAATATGATGAGGGAAACATGCTTTCATTGCATGGCTTCTTGTCTTCATTCAAAGTAGTGGGATTGGACATGGAACCAGTGTCTCTTTTCCAATTGAGCACACGATGCCACTTAGAACAGCTATATTTTCATGTGTTTTACTGGCAGAATGAAAGTCTGCAACATTTTTATACCAAGTGAAAAAGGCAGGAAGCGGGGATACAAAATACTGCATAAACATTGTTTAACATTTATTCATATCATTTAATTAATTGAATTGGGGGGCATTGCAGGGCAAATAAGTCATAGAGGTGGGTAAATAAAATAGAGCATGTCTCTTTCTTTTGGAGATGTAAAGAAATGTGTTCTCTCAGGCGTAGAAAGACAAAAAGCATTGATAAGGATTGAGACGATATAGCTTTTATGAGATAAAGGGGATTAAAAGCACAATTTTGTATAAAAGGCTAAGCTGAAGCGATAAGAAAAGTGTTTTTTCCATATTTTAAATAAACCGTATCTCGAGGTTCATTTATCTTCCTGCATGAGGGGAGGTATTGCACACATGTTCCAGTCCTGTACCCTTCGCTCCTGACCTGCCCTTGTCTACTATGATCTGGAATGGAGCTGTAGCCATATGTTGACATACACAGCTACAGAGCTCTATGCAGTTGATAGCTTTACCAGAGGGTGTTCTATAATCACATTCAACCACATGAAATCACACTATATTTCCTTTTGAGACCTTCTCCGCTGATAGAGCTGGAACCTCTCTCCCTAATTCCTCTTCTTTGTGAAGAGAAATGAATTACTATAGAGTTATAGTGTCGTTTTCTAGTTGCCTTTGATTCTTATTGAATTGTGAATTCCTGATTTGTTGTCTCCAAATTATTATAGATCGTATTCTTTTTAACCTAACATCTTCCTGTTGTTTGCTTTGATTTTAAATAAAGCTGTAGTTTAAAAAATTGATTAGATTTTGTCCCATCAAAGTCAAGAGGGTTAACCCATGAGTTAAATATATTTAAGAGGGAGATACAGTTGTGACCTCTGGCACAGCTTTTGAACAAACTAGAAAGTGGTGGTGTGGTTTCAAAAGCCACTGTGCTACTTGCATTAAAAGTAGGGGTTCACATTTTATTTTTTCTTTCTCCCTGTGGCGAGAGTTTTGACCATTCTTTTAAATAATATTTGTTAACGATTTATTTGTGCAAAGATTTTGCTGATTTGTTAAAATTCAAAACTTTTTTTTGCACAAAAGATTTTATTCTGTGCATAAAACGCGTTTTTTTATTTGGGGTGTTTGGCAAAAATGTACTGAAATGTGAAAAATCCCATTGAAGTTGACTATTTCTCTTATTGGATACAGTGAAACATCCTTTTCCAAATAAGAGAAAATGTGTGAGTTTTAAAATCCTTAGTTGAAAGCTACTGCATTGGTGTTACTTCCATTTTTTAAAGCTGATAATTTCACATAGTTCACTGATGACAATTTTGTTTTGAACCAATATGTTATCAAGCTCTTTTTTTTAAAAAAAAGAGACATTCAAAATATGTCAATTTTTCTTCAAATTCCCATAGTTAGATTTCCAACATAAACTACTTCTAGTACATAGTCTAGATTAAAATGATTAAAAACAGCATCAGGTTTCATCACTTAACTGAAAAAAGTAATGTCATTATTCTTGGAGTGAAAACTTGAATTTTTACACTGAAGTTTTGACATTGATTGCAGCTGAACAGTTCACAAGAGGTTATGAACTCTTTAAGTATGGCATGACAACTTTTAATAAATAATCTGCAGTTAGTAGTGTTTATAGCATTCAGGGAACCCTTGGTCAAAGCTGAAATTGGGTAGCACTTGTTTTGAATAATAATCGAATAATAAAGACATTTCCACCATACATACAAATGTCTAAATATAATTTTAAGACGCTAGATTCATGTTTTTTACAGATATTGATTACCTTTCTTTTTCTTTTTGGTTGAAGAACTTGTCACTATGTACAGCAGCTTTAATGTACATCTTGAGTAGAGATCGCTTGAACATGGATCTAGATAGAGCCAGCTTAGATCTAATGATCCGTCTTCTGGAACTAGAGCAAGACTCTTCATCCAGGTTGTTCAACGAAAAGGACATGAACAAAATTAAAGAAAAAATCAGAAGACTCTGTGAAACTGTTCACAATAAACACCTTGATCTAGAAAATATAACGGTGAGTTGTGGGATTTTACCTGATATTCCTATAATTAGAAATACCATAAGAACCATTGCTTCTCCATTTATGAAACTTGTGAGCATTTAAAACATGCCTTGGAAGTAGTATTTGTAGACTTTCCCGTAGGTTTTTCTTGAGTCATGGTGTTTTCCTATATCTAATACAGTATTTATAGTGGTCAGGGTGTTTTGCTATATCTAATATTTATAGTGGAACAGATGGAGCCCCGGTGGCACAGTGGGTTAAACCCTTGTGCCGGCAGGACTGAAGACCGACAGGTCGCAGGTTCGAATCCGGGGAGAGGCGGATGAGCTCCGTCTATCAGCTCCAGCTCCTCATGCGGGGACATGAGAGAAGCCTCCCACAAGGATGATAAAACCTCAAGTCATCCGTCCCCTGGGCAACATCCTTGCAGACCGCCAATTCTCTCACACCAGAAGCGACTTGCAGTTTCTCAGGTCGCTCCTGACACGACAAAGACTGCAACAGACTGAGAAAGACAATAATTAGATGCTAACATTATTAAAAGTGAATTGTAATAATGTAAATAAATACTGTAAATAAATAAATTTTGCCTTTCATTTATGTGAGTGACAAGATATACAGAATGAAGCATTTTGCAATAACAACCTGGGAAGAAAAGGTGCAGCTAAACACTTTTGTAGCTACCTGACCTGCACCTTTAAACCTACAATGCTAAATTGTATATAATTTCCAAGTTACAGCACTGATGGAAAAAAGTAACTGATAAAATGTTGTGTTGTATGCACTAATTTGTGTGTGTTTTTTTCTAGACTGGTCATCTAGCAATGGAGACGCTGCTCTCTCTTACTTCAAAACGGGCAGGAGACTGGTTTAAAGAAGAGCTACGACTTCTTGGTGGTCTTGATCATATTGTAGATAAAGGTATTAATTTTGCCTTGAAGTGAATTAATAGATTTTATAATTGGATGGTGATTTGTATGTTACCGACTGCTCATTGGAGGGAAGGATATTAGAGACAAAGTTGAAGTACTTTGGTCACATAATGAGGAGACAGGAAAGCTTGGAGAAGAGAATGATGCTGGGGTAAATGGAAGGAAAAAGGAAGAGGGGCTGACAAAGGGCAAGATGGATGGATGGCATCCTTGAAGTGACTGGCTTGACTCTGAAGGAGCTGGGGGTGGTGATGGACGACAGGGAGCTCTGGCATGGGCTGGTCTTCTGACGAAGAGTCAGAAGCAACTGAACGAATGAACAACAAATTGGGTAGAATGAAAGGGCTGTTATAATGCATGTAGGTATCAGGGAGACAATGCTTGATGTGTCAAAATCAAAAATCTTTATTACGATCATAGACTAGCATAAGGATAGTGGGGTACAGTCTCATAAAAGCATTGTATATTAAAATATAAAAGGCCAGAAAACAGAGGTATGTTGAAGGCTAGCACACAAAAACTATTTAGAAAAGGGAGGGGACTAGAAAGGGAGGGAGATTGATGGAGGGACAGGAGCATTCAGGACACAAGTCTAGAGGACCGGGGATGGGAGCACTGATTTACATTTCATTCAGATAGTTTGATTGCTAACTTTTGGAACCAGTATCACCCAGTGGATTTTAAGTGCTGCTGCACAAATCTTGACAACATTATAGGTTATAACTGAGTTGGTATCTGAGAGCAGCAGGGTAGTGTAAAATTGTTCTAACGGCCCAAGTAATTATATTGCAAAGGCAGGATGAGTCTGGATACTTGATATGTTTTCATCATCCTTTTCACCTGTAGCTGATTTTGACTTTTGAAGATTATCAGTATTATATGTAATTGTGATATTATAATCTTTGTCACCTCTTAAAAAATAGGATATTCAGTAAAATAATAGAGTGGCGACGCTTGTTTCATAAATTAATAACTTAATATTAGATGTCAGAATTGTAATTCTTATAATAATACTATGTAACAACATTTGAAAAACAAATCTGTTCCTGGTTTGAATGTGTTATTTCCAGTTTAATTGTGTGGTACTTACTTTGAAAGTAGTTGTTACGTTCCAGAAACTTCATTTTTGGTGTGGCCACTAACTATGTTGAATTGGTTGAGACTCGAAGACATAAAACTATAGCAAAATGTGCTGCAGGATGTCCCACAAAAAGAAAGTTTTTGCGGTTTAATAAATCTTTTCCATTTTTTGATAGAACCAATTAGAAAATGACATTTATAATTCAGGAACAAAAATTGTGTCACATAGTGCAGGGGTCCACAAACATTTTAAACAGAGGGCCAGGTTACAGTTCCTCAAACTGTTGGAGGGCCGGATTATAATTTGAAAAAAAAAATGAATTCATATGCACACTGCACATATCTTGTTAATAGTGCAAAAACACTTAAAAACAATACAATAATTAAAATGAAGAACAATTTTAACAAATATAAACATATTAGTATTTCAATGGGAAGTGTGTGCCTGCTTTTGGCTGATGAGATAGCATTGTTGTTGTTGTTGTTGTTGTTGTTGTTGTTGTTGTTGTGTGCTTTCAAGTCATTTCAAACTTAGGTTGACCCTGAGTGAGGGCCATGTAAATTACTTTGGAGGGCCATATCTGGCCCCCGGGCCATAGTTTGAGGACCCTTGACATAGTGTAATTAATCTCTTCTTCATATCTTAGCAAAGGCCTACTGATACTTGGTTCTGTAGAATTAGCTTAGTGGTATGGCGTGTTACATGCTAGTATCAGTGATGCTCTCTGATCAAAAACAGAGCAAAAGAATCAATGCAGAATAACACGCAGCAGCACTCAACTACAACACATGATTTAGGGAGCGAAAAACCCCACCCACTTTGTAGTACTTGTGAAAGCTTCAGTGGGTTAGAAGGTCTCATTGAATGGGACAGTGGATTGTAATGAGATTTGTCTCTTGGGGGTAGAAGCAATAGACTTATGTAACTACTATGTAATGTAGCTCGTGTAAATCTAGTTTATCTTTCAAAGATAATGTGAGCAGTGGCTAGGATTCATCCTCCATAGGATTGAAAGCCTGACTTTGGAGTTGTAGATATTGGTTGGTAACTGCAGGCTTCTTTCTATGAGATCTGTAATGATGAAGCTGTTGTAGGCTCTTCTTGGGAACATCTATATGCATTGTTTGTGGAAAGAATTGCTTTCCTGAACACTTCTGGTTTTCATTTCTTCCATGGTTTTTCTTGTGGCTTTCATGTGCCACTAAAGTGAGAAAATGGCTTAGAGAATATCGAAAGGGGTGACAGAGATATTGGTGCATTCTTAGCATTTGTTTCTAATAGTGGTGCTGTGTTTTTTTCTCTAAGGAAGCTATTGCATATTATTGATGTGGCAGCTGCTGCCATAGAACTGCTCTGCCCATTTGCCCAGAACTTTGGTGCAGAAATTTGACCTTTGATACTTTATTTCATTTTCTAAACTAGGACAAATTTAAGACTGAAATAAACTAATTTAATTTGCTGATAAACTAATGCAGAAGAATAGTAAATTGTCTCAAATGAGGTGTTCTTAAAGACTCAACTGGAGCTAGGATTTGTTCTTCTGGTGACAGCAGATGATAATCCCATTTTCAGATCACTATATTTTGCAATGGGATGACCCAGAGGTGCAGTCCACCCATTAATGGGTTAATCAATCCATGTTAGCTGACAATAGAGGAGGCAAAGTTATTTTTCAGTTGGATTTGTTATGACTCCTTTCCTTTCTAGTCGGTTTTAAAATCTCCTGCCTCCTAGCCAGATATATATTTCCTCCTCTGTAAGTCAGTTGAATTAGGTAATAGGGGAAAAGAAGTTAAGAATTTCAGAGGAGAAAACAGAAGAGTGTACTACCGCTGCTCATTCTTGAGGGAATAAAGAAATAAGATGCATCTAAAAATAAAATTCTGTCCTGATATTTGAAAAACTTATCAGGGAGGGCAATTACAGATACTGTTCAGGTTACCGCTGCCTAGCACATCTCTTGGAGTGGAAAGAAAACATTTAAAATCAATTTACAGAGAGCATTTCTAACCTAGAATGAGACAGAAGAGATAAAACTTAAAGGAAAAGAAAATATGGTTGCCAGAGTGAGAACAGAGAAAGGAAGCAACAGTTAAGGAGATTGATTTGATAAAAAATAGCTACAAAGAAGGAAAAAGGGAAGAAATTAGCAAAGTAGATCATAACTCATCCACAAAGAATGGAGAAGGAAGATGTGGATTTTATTCCTCAGCTGGAAGCAGAAGTGCATATGCTGTCAGTGTCACGTCCAAAGGGACTGCTTTGCATTCCTATCAATTCATATTATTTGGATAATCCTTTCAGAAAAAGCAGGAGAAAGTATTAGTAGTATGGATAGCTCTATGAGGATCGAGGTGTTCATATTTTCTTTTGTTACTGCAGGTGTCTCTTCCACAGAGCATGGATCTGCTCAGTGAAAATTGGGTATTACTCTCCAACCTGGGTTGATTGTACCTGACTATGTGGACTTTGAGAGAAGATCCATGGTCCATGGATATTTAACGAGGAAGCAGAAACTATAAGTTTCAAAAATAGGTCCCACTCAAAAATACAGGGTGTTTCAAAACAATGGACCCAGTTTCAAAGCAGGATATTTCATGATGGAAACGTGTCACAAAGAAAGTTACAGTTTAATGTGTTATCAAGTTTTATTAACAATTTTATGTCAGAAACAAATCTAAAAGATAACTGCAAATGGATAGTATTTCATTAGGGGTCACCATGTTGTGAAAGACTGAGGCTAGGGGCTGTTTCTGTGCTGGGAGAAGCATTGAGCAGTAATCATTTGAAACTCTATGCCTCACTCTTTCAAGTAATAAGAGTTTCGTTCTCAAGATGGCAAAAAGAAGCAATCCACTATGATTGTCTTCAACCCTCCATGTTCCAACCAGAATGATAGGATCCAAGGTTCTTTTTCAGTTGAGCCGTTAAGCTCCTGCCCAACAGTTTTTTCTATCCTGCCTAACCAACTGGTCATGTTTTCCCTTCTTGACAAATTTATAAGGCAAGGATACTAGCAAGGATAAATAATAGAGAAATTAGCTTTTTGGTTTCTGGTCCCAGTGATGGCTGAAAAACAGATTGAGGGACGGCAGAAGCCTGAAAAACAAGCTAACCAGTCACTGAGGATGAGTGTAAACAGAAATATAAAAGGTAATGGCTCAAAAGCAGAGAGAAACATTGCATAAGCAATGATATCCCTCCTGATAAGCTGCAAGTGCCATTTGAAAGCTGAAGCTCTAAGGCAATGGCTCCAAAGTAGAGAAGATCATTGCATTAGCAATGATATCTCTCCTAGTAACTTGTGATTGCCATTTCGAAACTGGAGCTCATTTGCAGAGATATAGCAATTTCGAATCAGGTTCATACTGTATATGATTTGGGTTGCCAAAAATGATATAGAGCTCAATTGTTAGTGCTGGAGGAGGTACAGATAAGACCCACACTGTAATTTTTTTTTTCAGGGTAGTTTCTGCAAGGGAATGAGACCAAAAATCCTTAAAGGGGCAGGTTGCAACCTGATCAGGATATTAGAAGTTTGCTCACCCACACATAAATAAGTTTTTGAGAGATGCAACATTAAAATAGTTCATAATTTTCCTACATAGAATGGGAACTTTAGTATTAAATATTGTACCAAATTTTCCCTTTGAACTAAGGAAGATTGTCTCATTTAGGTACTTTAGGGTGGGGTTTTTGGTAACAGTTATGTCGGCCTGTAGAGTATCCAAACTAATGGCACTCTCAGTCAACCCAAACTTATATAAATTCAAGCAGAACATGTTGACTCTGATTTTGAACCTATTTTTCTGCTATAGTGCATTTCAAATCAGAGTTCCACTGAGGTTGTTTACAGATGTTTTGTCCTTGATTAATTCATCTCTTCAGAATTCAAATGGTACACTTTAGATGACTGCAGAGTAATGCTTAAAGAGAATAACGAACATATCGAGACATTGTTTGTCTCTTATCATCCTATAACTTTGGGACAAAAGGCATTTAAGGCTGTGCTAGTGAGCTAGATAAAAACTTGTATTTTGTGCTACAATTACACACAAAAACCAAGGCTGCAAAATGTTTGGTCACCTTCAACTAGGTCAGTGTTCAATAGCACAGCGTTTGCAGTTTCAACATCATGTAATATGTTGAGTATATGTAATGCAGCTTATTGGGGGAATAAGCCACATTTAGCAGGCATTACAAATTAAACAGGTACAGGTTAAGAAATGCAACATTTGGCTGAACTATGCTAAAAATGGTGGTGTGAAGTTTATTAGAACCTACCCAAATGAGGGTCTTGGTAGGTCCCATTAGTAAATGGATTCCTCCTTGGTGCCATCCCTGAGATTCAGATTAGGCACCATAAGACCAGATTAGAAAATTGATTGGGAAGGGAAGGAGTCACAGTGAATCCAACCAAAAAAGAACTTTGTCTCTTGCATTGTTGGTTGGCGTGCAGATGAACCCATTAATGGGTAGTTTGTTCCTCTCGCCATCCCAGAATGGGATGCCCTACCATGCCCTAGCTTGCCTTTGTGTTGGTCAAAATTGAAAAAAACAAAAACAAAACCATAATTGGAGTATTAGGGTACAGGGGCTCGGGGTTTATAGAGGGTTTTTTAAATTGAACTTTTGGGTTAGTAGGGACAGCTGCCTTCTTTGCCAACCCCATTACGTTTTCTTGTTCCATCTAGATTGATCAAAAAAAAAAAAGATTCAAAACTTGTTTCGGATGTAAGGGGCACTGATGGTTCTATTGAATTCCGAATTTTTCCAATAAAATTTCAGAACTTTCTGAAATTTCCGAATTGCTTCGTTAATGGCCCTGAGAGCTTTTGTGGCCTAGTGAGCTGATTTCACAAGTTACGGAAGTATAGACTTGAAATTATGGGGTTTGTAATATCTTTTAAGACAACACACAGCAATCAAAGAAAATAAGAAACAGTCCTGAGAGCTTTTGGAGCCTTTTAAGCTGATTTCACAAGTTAGGGATGTATAGACTTGAAAGTATGGGATTTGTAGTATCTTTTTAGGCAACTCACAGCAATCAAAGAAAATAACAAACAGCCCTGCCCTTTTTGCCTTGGAATCTGGTTTCACTACTTTAGGAAGGAGTCTGTATTCAAAGAGTGGCTTGAATTGATGGGAGATCTAGTTCTTTTGAGGCAATGTGCAACACAGACTACAACGTTGGCTTTTTAAAATGTTGGAGTGAGTGCTTTGTTTCCTCCATGTTGCTCCTTCCACCCACGCCACTCACCCACACCCTACCCTCATGGTGCCCATCCATCCCAAACCCCAACAGCAACAACACACAAGCAGCAAGACAGGCTGCCCAGGCATGACAGGCAATAGCCCTTCTCTGCTTTCTCGCTTGCAAGCAACCTTCCTTCAACACAACCTCCCATCCCTTCTCCCTTCCCGGCTCCAAATGAGCCTCTGAGCCATGTGCTCCCCTTATATACAGCAATGGCTGCCAGTGCCGAAACCCCACCCCTCCCCAAAACTTCTCAGCAGGCTAGAGGGCTGAAAATACGCTGAATCATTTCTGACTCACTTCTTGAGTTGTTACAAAAATAATGGAAAAAGCTTCGGAAGGGCATATGGACGTCCGGTTTTTTTTAAATGCTTTGCAGTCGCTTCAAAAGGGTAATTTTAATGAAATTATTATAAGTAACGAGTTATCCGACATGGCTCTATCCATGCCTATTAGCTATTGTCTTCAAAGTAGTTGAGATACTCAACTGCAATATACTGCAAATGATTGAATGAATAACATTCATTAGCTTTCCAAAAGACCTGCTCTTGACATTGGTGAAAATTGCTAGAACTGGTTTGTTGATAGAATTCAACACAGTTGTGTACATTTTTGGAGTGCACTTCAGGAGTGCTGTAACAAGTGCCTGTACCTCAAAGTTCATCACTAGGTCACTGGTTTTAACATTTTAATAACCGTGTTCTCTTTCTTTATTTCTTAGTTAAAGAATGTGTGGATCACTTGAGCAGTGATGAAAATGAAGAGAAATTGGTTGCTTCATTATGGGGAGCAGAAAGATGTTTACGGGTTTTAGAAAGTGTAAGTATAACCATCTATCTAAAGGCATTGGATTGTTTAGTGGTTCTGAAGCAGGAATGAGGAAAGTAACGTTTATAGACCACTTCAGCTTACACTTTCTGCATGATCTCTGTGAATTGATTACTACTTTGTTTCTCAATCAGATCTTAATTTCAGTGAGTCACAGTCAAAGGGCTTCTTAAGTCAAATGCTCCATTGACAGACTTGTTCTTTCCCAAATGGCTTTAAAGTCTTGGGAAGCTACTGTTGACTGTAGAGAGAAATGTGGAGTGAAAGCTTTCTTGGTTCATTTTTTTTTGGTAGTGCATTTCTTTCTTTGTAACTTCATCCTTTGGCTGAAAAGGAACTCGCATATTTATTTATGAAAAGCTTTTCTATGCAATACTTCATCCACAAGTTTGCAATCTAAGAACCCACAGTGCAAGCAAAAGGATGGCTGGAAGACTGAAAAAGCAACATGGCTTATAGCCACAAACTATTGTCAACCCACTAGGATAGAAATAGTTCAGGCAGCCTGATTGAATTGTGATGATGAGGAATAGGAGAAGCAAAAGGCAGCTGGTTTGTCTACAGAGCCAGTGAAATAACCCGGATTCCTTTCTCAATCTCTGCTGCAATTACATAACCTTAAGTGGGTTTATCCATGCCATGTAAAGGAAAGTAGTGCAGCACTTGCTAGATTGTTCTGTGCTCCAATTTTGCTGTTTCATTCTTGGATTATCTCAAGCTGCCTTAAATGCTGCTGTAGAAGAGCGATTTATATATCCATCAATGACATTCATAAAGAGAATAATGAAGTACAGTCTTTGTGGTTGTGACTTGAGCAGTTTCGGGTCAGCAATAGTATACAACTGCAATTTGTATTTTCCTTGTCTTTGTGGTTTCCATGCATGCAAAGTCATTCATTACTCTTAGTAAAATATTAACTGCAGCATGGTACGGGCGTGTGAAATCTCAGGATACAGGCATCAGAAAGATTATAGAAATGTAACGTATCTGAAAAGATGATTTTCTGATATATCTATGTGTTGTTGTTTTAAAATTTAGGTAACAGTTCATAATCCAGAGAATCAAAGTTACTTGATAGCGTATAAGGATTCACAGCTCATAGTCTCTTCAGCTAAGTAAGTTAAAAGCAATGCTTGTTTTAATATGGCAATGGTACACTTTTCAGAATATTTCTAGATTCTAATAACTGAATGGTTCTAATTTGACATAACAGTCATTTTCAACTTGAATATTCTTTTATTGTCTTTGTGATGTTTTATACTGTTAATGTTTTTTATCTATTATGTTTTATGTATACTGATTTGTTGGAAATCCCCTTGAGTCGCCAATTGGCTGAGAAAGGCGGTATACAAATTTATTTACAAATACAGTAAATAAATAAATAAATAAATATTCTCTGTCTGAGCCTCCCTCAAAGTGTGTGCAGTGCCACTAGTATTTCCACATGGGAGATAAACTTGTAAAGTGTTTTGCTTCCATTCAATATTATATTTCATTGCATATGTGTTTATCATAGCTATTCTCTGACAGTGGTGTCAGAGAATAGCTATGATAAACACAAACATATCAGTTGACTTGGAGAAGAATGTTACCTTTTGTGTGTAGCCCAATTTTTGGATATTAGTTACTATACAGAATTTCCATAATCTGATGTCTTTGTTGGGAGTGAAAATATTGAACCTGCCCCACTACTACCTCTGCTGTTTTGAAAACTATACAGCTTTTAAATGTTTCCACCAAGGGACATTTTTTGCAAGTAACTCCATGTATATATTCTTCTGTTTGGATAATAGATGTCGGGGTTAATTATATGGGATACATAAGAGTGAGGCATCGTTTTTACATGTCTTCAACGTGTCTATGGGGGAAAAACGTATACACATAAACTATGTTGAGTGAAAATTAACATCTGTTCAACTATATTAAAAATGGATAGGACATTTTGTTCACAAGCAAGAGCTAACACTAGCAATTTCTCAGACCTATCTGCTCACCCACTCTGCAAATCTGATTAAATTAAAAGGCATATAAGATGATATTCTCTAAGATAAATGTCGGAGGTTATTCATGAGATAGCATAAAAACTAAGCTTTCTCTTCAGAACTGACAGTCTGTTTCTCAGTAGAAAAACATGTTTATTGTGATATGGAAATGATTTGTGTAACATGTTCTTACATTTTTCACTTCAGAGCATTGCAGCATTGTGAGGAGCTGATCCAGAGATACAACCGTGCTGAAGACACCATCTGTCTTCCGGACAGTAAGCCGCTGCCTCTCCAGAATGTAACAAATCATGTGGGTAAGGCAGTGGAAGACTGTATGAGAGCTATCATTGGCGTCTTACTCAATTTAACAAACGATAATGGTAAGTATCTCTTCCTCATAACAAGGTCTACACAATGAAACACATGTAAAGCATTTCTCTGTTGATGCCCATGTCATGAGGTTGGTAATAAGTAGTAAAAAGCAAGCTAGAATAATCAGAGGTTCAACAAAATGAATTGATTTGACAGGAATGGGGTTTGTAGTGAAGGCACAGGTTATGTATCTCTTATCTAAAATGTTTGAGACCAGAAGTGTTTTGAATTCTGGATTTCCCCCCCCCCCCCCCCGATTTTATAGTATCTGTGTTTGCATATATGTACATAGATACCTTGGAGATAGGACCAACGTCTGAACGTAAAATTCATTTGTCTTCCATATAGGCCAGGGGTCCTCAAGCTAAGGCCCGGGGGCCGAATACGGCCCTCCAAGGTCATTTACCTGGCCCTCGCTCAGGGTCAACCTAAGTCTGAAATGACTTGAAAGCACATAACAACAACAACAACAATCCTATCTCATCAGCCAAAAGCAGGCCCACACTTCCCATTGAAATACTAATATGTTTATATTTGTTAAAATTGTTCTTCATTTTAATTATTGTATAGTTGTTGTAGGTTTTTCCGGGCTATATGGCCGTGTTCTTGAGGCATTTTCTCCTGACATTTCGCCTTCATCTATGGCAAGCATCCTCAGAGGTAGTGAGGTCTGTTGGAAGTAGGAAAATGGGTTTATATATTTGTTAAAATTGTTCTTCATTTTAATTATTGTATTGTTTTTTGCACTACAAATAAGATATGTGTATTGTGTGTAGGAATTCATTCATGCTTTTTTCAAAGTATAATCTGGCCCTCCAACAGTTTGAGGGACTGTGACCTGGCCCTCTATTTAAAAAGTTTGAGGACCCCTGATATAGGCCGTATGCAATATAGGGCATAGCTTGAAGATTAATTTTATAAACTGTATTTTAATTATTTTGTGCATGCAACACAGTTTGGGTACATCAGAAAGAAAAGATGTCACTGTCTCAGCCACCAACGTGGACAGTTTGGGGGTACCTCAGATTTAGGATTTCTAGATAAGGACAGATCAGCCTATGTTACAAAAACCCGTAGGGCAGAGTGGCAGCTAAGGAAAAACAGTGGAAAATGGAACACAAATGAATGTTGTTTCCTTTGAACATGATGCAATTGTAAATCATTCGAGCAGGCTTGGAAACTTTGGATTAATCTGGTAAATGTCACTGATGTAAGAAATAAAAGGAAAAAATGGCAAATACATTGTTTTGTCTGTCAGTTGCATTGTTTGCAGTTGCAGACTTCTTGGCAAAAGTCTGAATTTAGTGTTTTCTATAACAGATTAAAGTGCCGGTCCCAAAGAAGAATAAATGTGATGAGAAGCCTGAATCCCGATGTTGTCCCAATTAATTAAGCCTGTAGAACTGATGGAGTTTACATACGTATTGACTCACCATTCAGCAACTGATTCAGTGCATCTATCTTAATTGAGATTGCCAATTGAATTCAGGCCAAAGTGATTTCTGGGACCAAATTTCAGTCTATAATGTGATGATGGCAATTGAAACACATTTTTGTTAACGTTGCAGATACAACGCCTTGAAATATCTGATTAGTTTTTCTGTTTTTCTTTTCAGAGTGGGGTAGCACTAAAACTGGTGAGCAAGATGGCCTTATCAGCACAGCTCTCAATTGTGTACTTCAGGTTCCAAAGTTCCTACCTCAAGAACAGAGATTTGACATTCGGGTTCTGGTGAGTAAAGCAGTCCAGAATGTAAAAGGCCATATTTTATGTATTTCATTTTTGCACATGAATGTTGTCAGTTGCCCTTTTCTAAGTGCCTTCCAGAAGCTAAGTAGATGGTGGCTTCTGAAAGGAACCTTTTACATGACATAATTTATTTTGTGGAATGCCCTCCAAAGACAGATCCATAGTCATCAATGCTGCTGTCACGATAGGCACTATATCAGGGCATGCTGACATCCCCAGTGTACAGCCCACCAACTGATTCATCACAACCAGAGCTGGGAAGGCATGAAAAAAACTTAATTTTTTTTTTTAAGGGAAAACGGGTTTTCCCCCCATTTTTTCCGTCTCCCCCCCCCCCCCCCCCCCCCAATGTTTCCAAGTTTATTTTCAGGCCTTCCCATTTCTAATCACAACTAATGGTGATTTAGAGGCTATAGCTCAATGTTAAAAGCTTGTTTAAAAGAAAAAAGAAAAAGGATAAAGCTTTTCAGAGACGTTATTCCATAGTTGAAGCACAACATCTGATCCTAAGTACTAGTAGCTATTTGTAAGCACCAACTGTACAGTGCAGGCCTCTGCAACCTGTGACCCTCGAGGTATTTAGGACTTCCAGAAACCTTAGCCAGCTTGTTGGGAATTCTGGGAGCTGAAGTCCAAAATATCTGGGGGGGCCACATGTTGTGCAGGCTTGGTGGAGCATTTTTTGGAAATACTACAAGAGAGAGCTACCACAGAATTGTGCTAAAGTGAAATTCAATGACAACCTGGAAGTTCCTTTGCTAAAACACTATTAGGGATTCCAGAAAGCTCTCTTGTGATTCCAGTCCTCTTGTTGCACGATTTTTAAAAAAAAAATTTGAACTCCAGACATTTTTCTTACCTCAGTGGAAATTCTATTATACACTATTTTTTAAAAAGATTGTTTGTCTAAAAGATTGTCTGTGCACATACATAATCTAGGTTCTGATTATATGATGAACTTTTACACTCGTCACTCTACTCCCCCTGCTTTAATCTTGTAATTTAATCCCATTTTACCAAATTTATTATTGTATCAAGTTTTATCGTGTTTTTATTTATTATTTATCTATTTACTATATTTATGTACCGCTTTTTTCCTCCTTAGGGAATTCAAAGTGGTTTTCAACATTATAAAGGCGAAATTCAGTGCCATACATGTGAAAACCAAAAGATAATAGCAAAACAATAACATATAACTATAAATTAACCTAACCGAATTAAAACATAAACATAATAGAACCTTTAGACATAAGGCATTAAAATTAAACATCTATAATATAATAACATTTGTATTAAAACCCACGAATAAACGACACGATTTAAAAACAGTTATTAAAATCACAGCATCCAAAATCAAGTCTGCAATCATTCCATTGCTCCGTTCACTATTTCTTATTGCACTTTGCTGTCCAAAAGCTTGGTCAGATAAACACATTTTTGGGTTGTTGTAGGTTTTTTCAGGCTATATGGCCATGGTCTAGAGGCATTCTCTCCTGACGTTTCTCCTGCATCTATGGCAAGCATCCTCAGAGGTAAGAGGATGCTTGCCATAGATGCAGGCGAAATGTCAGGAGAGAATGCCTCTAGACCATGGCCATATAGCCCGAAAAAATCCACAACAACCCAGTGATTCCGGCCATGAAAGCCTTCGACAATACAAACACATTTTTACTTTCTTCCTGAATGTCTGGATGGAGGGGGCTGTTCTAATTTCACTAGGGAAGGAGTTCCATAGTCGAGGGGCCACCACTGAGAAGGCCCTGTCTCTCGTCCTCACCAGTCGCACTTGTGAGGTGTTATTGAGAGCAGGGCCTCCCCAGAAGATTTTAATCTCCGAGGCGGTTCATACAAGGAGATACGTTCGGACAAGTAAGGTGGGCCGGAACTGTTTAGGGCTTTATAGGTTAAAACCAGCGCTTTGAATTGTGCTTAGTAGCTGGTGGAGCTGGCATAACAAGGGAGTTGTGTATTCCCTGTATGTGGCCCCAGTTAGAAATCTGGCTGCTGCCTGTTGGACCACTTCAAGCTTCCAAACAGTCTTCAAAGGCAACCCCATTTAGAGCGCATTGCAGTAGCCTATCCTTGATGTAACACAAGCATGGACAAGTAGTTAACTATTACAGGAGTTTTAGCATAGTTAATAGTGTCTTTGTTTTTGTTTTTATTGTTGACAAGGTCATTGGACTAATCAATCAACAAATCTGTTTGTCTATCTAGATTCTAGTATGTTCGGACAGGAATTTAAAACCAGAAAAACATAAGCTATAGAGCAAAGGGTTTTTTAAAAAATAAAAGAGAAAGGGGGGAGAAGTTAAAACAAAACACCTCTTGTATTGCAAGGTATTCCAGTGTCTCCATCCCCCAGGAAGAAATTTCAGTGGAGTTAAACTCCTCACAACCATGTCATTTATATATTGTCGAAGGCTTTCATAGCTGAAATCACTGGGTTGCCATGAGTTTTCCGGGCTATGCAATGCTAAACAAGGTAATTAATTGCATCATTCACACTTGCCTCCAACAGACAAGAGTTCTTTCTCTCACCCAATATCGTCCCAATATTTTTCACTGAAAGGACATGAAATGTCTCAGCTGAAATTTGGAGACTTTGCAAATGTTCTAGGATGCCTCTATTATAGGTTTAATTCTTTGTGAACTTTGAAACAAGAACTCATTCCGAGGGAATAAAACATCCTTTTGTAATGCAAGAGAACAAAACCACATTTTAGCAAGTAGTCTTATTACATGAGTTGTGATATTGATGTACTGGCACTCCCCAAGTTACAAACAAGATAGGTTCTGTAGGATTATTCTTAATTTGAATTTGTGTGTTAGTTGGAATAAGTATATTTTTAAGTGTTAACTCCAGCCAAAAATATATATGTTTTAGCTTTGGATAGCACAGGGGAGGGTGAAGTCCCCTGTGGGGTTTGCTTTGCTGTATGGGCCCCTGTTCAGAAGATTTCACATCACTTTCTGTCCCTGTGATAATTGGATTTTGGAAAATTCGGCTTTTTGCGGAAACAAGGATTGTTGCTAAATCTTCACTGACAACTTTTCCCCTGATAGCTCTTTAAGGAGTGAATTTCCCTTCCGAGAGATATATTTATCTCACTTCCTGTTGTGTCACCCCTATTCTTAACTATAATTTCTTTGTACATCGGATGTTTGTAACTTGAGTACTGCCTGCATAGCATCAGTGGCTAGTTTAAATTTGCTTATGAATCTTTTTGAGTTTTAAAGAACAGGAATTACAAAAGGTCATAGTTGCTCAGACATGCCAAAAAGCCCACACCTGTGGGCTGTTTCACTTTAGAGAGAGAACCATGTATTCCTTGGAACACATTTGTTTTTCTACAGGGTTTGGGCCTCCTGATCAATCTGGTAGAATACAGTGCAAGAAATAGACACTGTCTTGTCAATATGGAAACATCATGTTCCTTTGATTCATTCTGTTTGGGAGAAGCCGAAGATAGCATATTCATTTCTGGACAGATGGCTGCTGTTCAAGCTTTGGTACAGGTAAATCATGTCTTTTAGTCCAAAAGATGTGCAGTGTAACAACAATTAAGTCATTTCATTGAAAGCTATCCCTCAAAGAAAATATATGTATGCAATTTTGTTTTCTGCTCTCATCTCTCATATGCATGTAAGTAATGGTGATGTACTACCAAGAGCTCAAATCAGCATGCAAATAACTTGTCTTGGCAGAATAGCCTTGAGATAGAAGAAGAAGAAGAACTTTATTTTTCTACCCTGCCTCCATCTCCCCGAAGGGACTCGGGGCGGCTTACATGGGGCCCAAGCCCAGGCTGAATACAATTAAAATAAAGCAGTAACAATTAAAACAGCATAAAACAACATAACAAAAATAGCTAGCAACAACAGTAACCGCAGACTAATTTTGGAGGGTGGGGGGAGGAAAACCACTACGTGAACTAGTTAAAGGGTAAAGTGGTTTAGTAAGGTAGATGACAATGTATAACGGCATAGGAAAAATCATGGAAACAGAGCAATTTAACAGGACCAGTTAATATAATATAGGACATCAGATTGAATGACAATTCAAGCCATGATTCAGGCCATTTGTCATAGGAGTCGTCAATCAAAAGCACGACGAAACATCCATGTCTTTAATTCCTTACAGAATGTGGCTAGGGAGGGTGTCAGCCTAATCTCCCTGGGGAGGGAGTTCCAGAGATGGGGGGCCACCACCAAGAATTCCCTCTCTCTCGTCCCCACCAACCGTGCCTGAGACGGGGACGGGAGCGAGAGAAGGGCATCCTCAGAAGATCTTAAGGATCATGTGGGCTCGTAAGAGAGGAGGCGGTCACGCAAATAGGCAGGTCCTGAACTGTTTAGAGCTTTATAGGTGATAACCTGCACCTTGTATTGGGACCAGAAACTTATCGGCAGCCAGTGAAGCTGTTTAAACAGGAGGGTTGACGGCTCTCTGTGACTTGCTCCAGTTAACAATCTGGCCGCCGATCTTTGCACCAGCTGTAGTTTCTGAACCGTCTTCAAGGGCAGCCCTTCGTAGAGTCCATTACAGTAGTCTAATCTTGAGGTAACTAAGGCATGGACCACCATGGTCAAATCAGACTTCTTGAGGTACGGTCTCAGCTGGCGCACAAGTCTTATAGGCACATATATATGCCTTCTTTCTCCTCTCCTTTTTTTTTCTTTTTCTTTTTGCTAGAAAAGGGAGTTTTGGGAAGTCTTGAGCATTATTGATTCTTCCCCCCGAAAGCATTGAGATCCACATTTGCTCTTAGGGCTGCACCTTTTCCCAACTACTAGCTAATATATAATGCTAAGCCATTGATTTGTATAATAGCTAACAAGCAGCAACGAATCCTCCTCTCTGCTTAATTATTATGATCAGTGATAATACAATATAATTACTGTGCCATCTATACCACTACACTGGTTGGCATACATTATGATTAGTTTCAAACAAGCCAAGTTATGTAATGCCTGAAACTGTCTTGACTAATTAACCACAGTTGCAGCTCCAGACAACTTAACAAGCTCTGGTTAAGCAAAATCTTTCAAATTGCTCCCAGCCTAGTAAGAAGGGGTGGGTAGGTTGTGCTAAACAGTGGTTATGCATGACAGATGGGGCTGCTGGGGCTTGGTAAATTGCATCATTGTACAAATAGCCATTTTTGTGGTTACCTTTAAAAAAAAAAGAATTGTGGTAGAGCATAAGAAGAGCTTGGCTTTTACTTCTGAATATATGAGGATTTTTTTCCCCAGCTGCCATTGTTTACAATATTTAATGGGCACATTTGCGGAGGATAGGTCTGAATTTTAGCATTTGGGTACCCTGTGATCTTGAATTGAATTTTTATCCAAACTTTGGCTGCCTAATAGTTTTTAGTGCAATTCTATAACATTCATCATTAATGCTGTGCGTAACATGAATGGGATGTTTGTATATTGATTTATTGAGTAAGGTATATGATACATTTTGTGCACTATTGTTCCTGCATAGGTTTGGCACGTTCAGTCTGAATTGTAATTTTTATGCGGTACGCAAGCATAGAAGTAATCCTAGATTTCTTTTATGAAAGGTTTAACAGAAAGGGGAATGATTGCAGAAAGGCAGGGAGGTGCGTAGGGCAAAGGAGCTGTTCCCTAGCGTCATTTGGGAAGTGTATAATTTGGGCTCATGATTCAGCATCGGTGACATTTTCCCTCTCAGTTGTTCCTGGAGCGCGAGCGAGCAGCCCAGCTGGCAGAGAGCCAGACGGATGAGCTGATTAAAGAAGTCCCGACAGCACAACACGACAAGAGTGGGGAGTGGCAGGAGACCAGTGGAGAAATCCAGTGGGTCTCGACGGAAAAGCCAGAGAATGCAGAGGAAAAAGAGAAGAAAGAAGAAGAAGAAGAGGAGCTTGATCTGAATAAAGGTAGGCATGTGCTCTTGAAAAGGAACAAGGAGTGGAGCTGATGGCAATAGAGAAAATAGGGGCCTCAATCAGGACTGTTTGACTTAATTAATAAAATTGTGGGCTCCTTCTGACTTCAGCTTCTTAGGCCAGGCGTCATGCATGCAGCTTGCACCTTGGACCATAAAATAACTGACGTATTTGCTGCTTGCTGAGAAAGGCTTCAGGACTGGTTGTGCAAACAGAAACTGCATGTTCTTAATGGCGATTGCCACAGGCTCTGCTTTGCCAAAAATAAAATTATATTTCAGAGTATTTCATTTCTTCAACTGCAGTTGATTCCAGTTCATTGCTTTGGTCCTCTAAACCAGTGGTTCTCAACTTGTGGGTCCCCAGGTGTTTTGGCCTTCAACTCCCAGAAATCCTAGCCAGTTTACCAGCTGTTTGGATTTCTGGGAGTTGAAGGCCGAAACATCTGGGGACCCACAGGTTGAGAACCACTGCTCTAAATGTTCCCGTTATGAATAAAAGAAAACTGCTTCTTGTAGTTGCACCTTCATATTTCTTTGTGTCGAGTTAAAGTTTCTCTAACTGTGCCCCTCCAGATGTTTTGGACTTCCAACTCCCACAGTTCCTAACATCTGGTAAGCTGACTGGGATTTCTGGGAGCCGAAGTCCAAAATACCTGGAGGAACACAGTTTGAGAAACACTGTGTTAAATAAAGTGAAGCCATTTTGCCTGTATTTTGTGCTCTTCACTCAAATCTTGTCAGAACATTGCTTTTGGGAACATTGTTTTTCATCAGTCATCTTGTCCTCTTACTGCTTCGGAAAAATTCCTTCTTTTACATTGGTCCTTTCTTTTACTTCCTTCTGACCTCGGCCCAGCTCCAAATTGTTTTGCTGTCTTATGTACCTGTGAGGTTACAAAAAGGTGAAATTTTACTTATGTTGGATTTGGCTATGATGGGTGCCCATAGGTGTATACAAGCAAATAATTGTTCTGTAAGTAATTCAGGAAAATACACTAAATTTTGGTTATTTATTTATTTATTATTTATTTACAGCTTTTATATTCCGCCCTTCTCACCCCGCAGGGACTCAGGGCGGATTACAGTGTACACATATATGGCAAACATTCAATGCCAATTTTTGACATACAAACATATACAGACATACACAGAGGCTATTTAACTTTTTCTGGCCGCCAGGGGAGCTGTCACTTTCATTGTCCATCTGCGACGCTGATGAAGCACTTCCGCATTCCCCGCATGCTTCCCCGCTGGAATGCTTTGCTGGAGTCTTCTTTATGGCCTCATAAGTCAGTTAATTTAGCCTCCCCACACTTTAAGGTGGTACCTAATTTTCCTACTTGACAGATGCAACTGTCTTTCGGGTTGCAAAGGTCGACAACAGGCTACACACAATTGGTTGGAAACCCACTCCAACCCGGGCTGGCTTCGAACTCATGACCTTTTGGTTAGAGTGATTAGTAATGGGAATAATCGGAAAAGCAGTGTTAAATGTCATACATTAACAATGTTGTTTTCTTGCAGCCCTTCAACATGCTGGGAAACACATGGAAGATTGCATTGTAGCCTCATACACAGCATTGCTTCTGGGATGCCTCTGCCAGGAGAGTCCAGTAAGAAAACCAATAATTGCATACCTATTCCATAGATTCGTAATACTAAATAAATAGATTTGCCATACATAGCATTTAAGCTAACAGTTTGCAATTTAAAAAAAACAGTGTTCGTACATTTATTTAATAGAAGAATGTCAGGTTATGCTCTTTCCTCAAATGTTGGCTTTTTTCTTTCTGCAGTTACAAATGGTTTCGTTTTGCAATTTCCATAACAACAGGGTGTGCATTGGAAAGCTTTCTATTACTTGAATTGTAAAATGTCTACTATATATTCTAATCAAAATGTTATTTGTCTGTTTAGCACTGTAAAATTGGTCACAGTGTACCACAATGGAAATTGTCTAATTCAAATCTTATTTTCTTAGATCAATGTGACTTCAGTGAGGACATACTTACCAGAAGGGGACTTTTCAATTATGACAGAAATGCTCAAAAAGTTTCTCAGTTTTATGAACCTTACTGTAAGTAGTATATCAATTATTATTAGTATATCAAATATTGTAATTTTCTCTGATAAGCTTTATTAGTTTCCCTTTAAAAAACTGCAGTTACTACTACTTCCACCTTCTGTTGTTATTTTTACCCTACAATCCATATAAATAAAAATGTAATGTTCGTTTGTGGGATTAACATAACTCAAAAACCACTGGACGAATTGACACCAAATTTGGATGCAATACACCTATCAGGCCAACAAGTGATCATCACTCATAAAAACACAGAAGAACACAGCAGAAGAGGTTTAAAAGCCAAATAATAAAAAACCCATTACAACACATCCACAAAACCACATGTATACATAAATATATACACACTAGCCATCCCCTGCCATGCGTTGCTGTGGCCCACATGGGGGGGGTTCTGTGTGGGAGGTTTGGCCCAATTCTATCGTTGGTGGGGTTCAGAATGCTCTGTGATTGTAGGTGAACTATAAATCCCAAATGTCAAGATTCTATTTTCCCCAAACTCCACCAGTGTTCACATTTGGGCATATTGAATATTCATGTAGAGTTTGGTCCAGATCCACCATTGTTTGAGTCTTGTGTCCAAATTTCTTGAGTCCACAGTGCTCTCTGGATGTAGGTGAACTACAACTCCAAAAGGTCAATGCCCACCAAACTCTTCCAGTATTTTTTCTCTTGGTCATGGGAGTTCTGTGTGCCAAGTTTGGTTCAACTCTATCGTTTGTGGAGTTCAGAGTGCTCTTTGATTTTAGATGAACTATAAATCCCAGCAACTACAATTTCCAAATGACAAAATAACACCCCCCCCCCCCCCCCCCCCCCCCCCCCAATATACAAATTTGGGCGTATCGGGTATTTCTGACAAATTTGGTCCAGGGAATGAAAATACATCCTGCATATTGGAAATTCACATGACGATTCATAACAGTAGCAAAATTACAGTTATGAAGTAGCAACGAAAATAATGTTATGGTTGGGGGTCACCACAACATGAAGAACTGTATTCAGGGGTCGTGACATTAGGGAGGTTGAGAAACACTGATCTAGGGAGATACACTGGCATGGGAGCTCTTTTTTTTTTTTTTTAGTATTGCCACCTCTTTTCATGATGGGACAGTGCTGGGTAATCTTTCCTCTGCCGCTCAACCTCCAGAGTTCATGGAGTGAGCAGGATGAGGCTGATATCGTACCCGCTTTTGTCAAAATTGCATGTTCTCCAAACTGCTAGCTGATATTTATGCACCGGCTACAAAAAATGTGTTGTAACACAGTCATCTCATAGTTATATACAGTTGATGGTTATCAAATGTTGACTTCCTATTTGTACATGGATAAATGTGTTGCAAATGTAGAAAGAAGAAGTGGTTTCTTCCTTTTTTTGGTTAACTGGGAAATGTTTCAACTATAATTCACACTATAGCAGGTATAGGCAAACTTTTGCCCTGCAATTGTTTTGGACTACAACTCCCATACTTCAAGAAATAAAGTCCAATTGTTTTGGACTACAACTGCTGTTTTTAAATTGTTTTAAATTGTTTTTAAAACGTGTTAGATTTCAGCCTGTTCTTGTAAGCCGCTCCGAGCCCCAGGGGAGTGGCGGCATATAAGTTCGATTAATAAATAAATAAATACTTCAAGAAATAAAGCCTGGCTGCTCATTGGAGGGAAGAATAGTAGAGGCCAAGATGAAGTTAAACATGAGCCAACAATGTGATGTGGCGGCAAAAAAGCCAATGGGATTTTGGCCTGCATCAATAGGAGCATAGTGTCTAGATCTAGGGAAGTAATGCTACCCCTCTATTCTGCTTTGGTTAGACCACACCTGGAATATTGTGTCCAATTCTGGGCACCACAATTGGAGAGAGATATTGACAAGCTGGAATGTGTCCAGAGGAGGGCGACTCAAATGATCAAGGGTCTGGAGAACAAGCCCTATGAGGAGCGGCTTAAGGAGCTGGGCATGTTTAGCCTAAAGAAGAGAAGGCTGAGAGGAGATATGATAGCCATGTATAAATATGTGAGAGGAAGTCATAGGGAGGAGGGAGCAAGCTTGTTTTCTGCTGCCCTGGAGACTAGGACGTGGAACAATGGCTTCAAAGTACAAGAAAGGAGATTCCATCTGAACATCAGGAAGAACTTCCTGACTGTGAGAGCCGTTCAGCAGTGGAACTCTCTGACTTGGAGTGTGGTGGAGGCTCCTTCTTTGGAAGCTTTTAAACAGAGGCTGGATGGCCATCTGTCAGGGGTGATTTGAATGCAATATTCCTGCTTCTTGGCAGGGGGTTGGACTGGATGGCCCATGAGGTCTCTTCCAACTCTTTGATTCTATGATTCTACCTGACTGTGTGGACTTTTGAGAGGAGATATTTTGAGGTTCATGGATATTTAATGAGGAAGTAGAAACTATAAGTTTCAAAAAGAAGCCCCACTCAAAAATACAGGGTGTTTCAAAACAATGGACCCAGTTTCAAAGCAGCATGTTTTATGATGGAAACGTGTCACAAAGAAAGAAGAGAAGGCTGACAGGAGATATGATAGCCATGTGTAAATATGTGAGAGGAAGCCATAGGGAGGAGGGAGACTAGGACGCGGAACAATGGCTTCAAACTACAAGAAAGGAGATTCCATCTGAACATGAGGAAGAACTTCCTGACTGTGAGAGCCGTTCAGCAGTGGAACTCTCTGCCCCGGAGTGTGGTGGAGGCTTCTTCTTTGGAAGCTTTTAAACAGAGGCTGGATGGCCATCTGTCATGGGTGATTTGAATGCAATATTCCTGCTTCTTGGCAGGGGGTTGGACTGGATGGCCCATGAGGTCTCTTCCAACTCTATGATTCTATAATTTGACAGTTTGTGGTCCCACGATTGAACGTACCTTTGTAATCCCACTTTCCCACACTTTTGTTGCCCCACAATTATTTTATTTTAGAACAAGTTTGCAGTCTGTGTTGAAAAGCAAAAGAAGTAACTATAACTACAAAATATATAATAAATTAAAAATATAAATAGTGAGGAGGAGTGGAGAATCCCCATCCCTGCAATATTCCTGCTTCTTGGCAGGGGGTTGGACTGGATGGTCCATGAGGTCTCTTCCAACTCTATGATTCTATGATTCTAAATACTTTGGCCACATCATGAGAAGAAAGGAAAGCTTAGAGAAGACAATGATGCTGGGGAAAAAGGAAGTGTGGCCGACCAAGGGCAAGATGGATGGCTGGTATCCTTGAAGTGACTGGATTGACATTGAAGGAGCTGGGGGTGGTGACGACTGACAGGAAGCTCTGGCGTGGACTGGTCCACGAAGTCATGAAGAGTCGGAAACGACTGAACGAATGAACAACAACAATTCCCAAAATTATTAACAGCCTACCAGCTGTTAGGAATTGTGGGAGTTCAAGTCCAAAACAACTGGAGGGCCAAAGTTTGGCCATGCCTGCTCTATAAATCTTCAATTTTGTAAATCTTACGTCATTAGGGGGGACCTTTTTTATTTTTTGTTAAACTTTTCCTGTTCTTTCTTGTCGCCCAAACAGTGTGCTGTTGGAACAACAGGCCAGAAGTCTATCTCGAGAGTGATTGACTACTTGGAACACTGCTAGATACACGAGTCCTGCAACTGGCCCTTGGATGCTGGAGCTCGACCCTTTAGATAAAGAAAGACGTTGTTGAGGAAGCACCGGGAGCATTTATCGGTCTCATTCGTGTTTGGATTTTTCAGGCGACCTGGTCTCTTAACTGTACACTCAGCATGTTATGAAAGACAAGTTACCACACCAATCTGCAACTATCAAAAATGAGGGGAGGGGAAACACCTGAGGAAAGTAGAGCAAGAATTTATGATGCTTATAATAATGCAGTGCAGTATTTAAAATACGTTTGTCAGGGGTTACTCTCCATCTTTATTTTTCTGGCTTTGTTTGGGACAACTTTAATGGGGACACACTTTGCTGCTGGTAGTGCAACTGCTGTTATACTGTTGAGCCACTGTTTTTCATGCCAGCCAGGTGCAAAGGCAGCTTTAGCTACTGAGGTATCCGATCTTCTAATAAAGATGCTCTGGGCAGCAGCATTGCTCTGATTTGAGTTTAATTTGCTCTTGCTTTTTAAAGAGATTATTCCAAATCATAAAAAAAATAATAGAAAGTTTTTAAATACTTTTTGTGATTTTAACTACTGTCTATATTTAAAATGTGTTGGAATCCAAAGAGGTTGAGGCTTGGATAGTTTATTTTTTATACTGTTTTGATTGAAAAAAAAATTGGGTTGTTGGAAACTACTTCTCAGTTTTTTAAATTGTCGAGGCCTATGTACTGTAAAACTGATTGACCATAACACTTCATTGCTCTTAAGAGAGGCATGCAGGAAAAAAATAATACTCCTCCCAGCTAATGGCTGTATCTATATTTTTTTAAAAATGCAGTAACTGTAAAAGATGCCCTGTTTAAAGAGGAATAAGAAACAAAAGTTCAATGCCAGGGTAGTTTACACTTCATAATAAGCAAAAACATTTAAAAGCTATCAGTTTTGTTTCAAGAAATAAATGTGGAGCTAAAACACCAATGGGGATTAATGTTTCCAGTTGACATAATCTTTCTATTTCTTCTTTAGTGTTGCGCAGGTAAATGCATACAATACAAAGCCTTAAATAGCTGAATATAGCGAAGATTTTGTTCAGTGTGGGGTCTAGTTCACAGCAAAGGATTGTGTTTGAGACTTTATTGGAACAAAAATCGCTGCAAATACCTTCCTTTCTTTTCTTTCTTTCTTTGGAGGTTTTGAGCATTCGTGACTTCTCTCTCGCACTCATTCTTTCAACTAATGGAATCGTTCATGATTTTTATTAAGCTGGTCTTTAATATTCACAAACCTTCTTGGAACATTTGTGTAACAGACACTTCACATTTCCTGTGTAGGTAGTTGCATCATGTTACTTCATTGAATTTGTAAAACTTGAAGCCATATAAATATTAGTTCTGTGTATAATGAGGGGTGGGAGAAATAACAGAAAATCTAACCTGCTTTTTAGATCTTGTGTTATCTCCATGTATAAAATTACAGACTTGTGCTTTTGTATCAGTGCCAGCTGTAAATTTTTTTACATACAGTGGCTGCCTTCTATGTCTTCCTATTTTTGATAATGCAGATTGCTGGGAATTCAGTAAGGAAGTAAATGATTAGACGCAAAAATCGTATTTGGTTCTACTTTTTTAAAATTTAATTTAATGTTTCTCATCACCTAAATGGCATTTCCACACATCCAATAAACCTACCAGTGTAACTGAGAAAGATGCCGAGGCTGTGTTTGCCCTTGGATGGAAAACCTTCCATATGAAAAGGTAGATAAACTTACTAAACCTATACTTGTAAATTATTTTTGAGATGCAAGATTTACTGGATGTATTTTTGGCGTTTTAGTTTTAATGATTTAGAGCAATGGCTTCCATTTTTAGTTGGATTTCACATAGATTTAAGTTAGGCTTTTGCTGTGTTTATGCACAGTGGCAAGGGATGATTTCAATTTGATGCAATGATGGGGGGATCAGGAAGGAATAATACCTCTCTGTTACACTGGTAATGATCTGAATGAGAATGAATAGAACTCATGTGTTGACTTAGTTTTCAATTAACAAGCACTGAAACATGCAGACTGTTTGGATTTTTTGTGGGGAGGGGGGTCTGGAGACCTTCACCCTGCGGTGTTGGTAAACCCTCGTCAAACTCTGCATTTGAATGGGTACTTGAGGCCAACTGTCCTATTGAAAGTTTTAAAGTAACTTTTTTTCCACTGTAAATATGTGTATATAAGCGCAATTGGAGACTAGAATAGTAGAGTACTTTTCTGAATCCAATCCTATTTTTATTTTATACAGTATTTCTCAGCTGTGATCTTTGGAGCAAAAGCCAACGGCAGGAATAATAGTTTGTACCAGTTTCATGAAGTATGTCTTTTGGTTTTTGTAAATAATTTTAACTCGAATAAAAATTGCTACTTTCAATACATAACATACATGTAATGAGCATAGTTTATTGATACTTCAAAAGTATGGCTGCCACTGTTCTGTTAGGTGACATTGTCTCTTCTGTTAGGTGACATTGTCTCTTAGTTCTCCTACTGCTCAATGTATCAAGGAGTGATCCTGCATTGGCCTACAATATTAAAGAGCTGGGTAGATGCGGGGAATGCCGTGGATGTAGCGTACCTGGATTTCAGTAAGGCCTTCAACAAGGTCCCCCATGACCTTCTGGCAAGGAAACTAGTCCAATGTGGGCTAGGCAAAACTATGGTGAGGTGGATCTGTAATTGGTTAAATGGACGAACTCAGAGGTTGCTCACCAATGCTTCCTCTTCATCCTGGAAAGAAGTGACGAGCGGAGTGCCGCAGGGTTCCGTCCTGGGCCCAGTCCTGTTCAACATCTTTATTAATGACTTAGAATAGATGAAGGGTTAGAAGGCAGGATCATCAAGTTTGCAGACGACATCAAATTGGGAGGGATAGCCAATACTCCAGAGGACAGAAGGAGAATTCAAAACGATCTTGACAGATTGGAGAGATGGGCCAAAACTAACAAAATGAAGTTTAACAGTGACAAATGC